CGCGGAGCGCGGGTGAGCGCCTGGGGATGTGGTTTGTGAAGGAATCTCTCCTCGCTACAGTGTGGCTTTGTCTTTGGCATTGTCTGTTTAATTCTGTCACATGACATTGAGATACGAAGAGTATTCTGCTTGGGGGTGAGTGTGAATGTTTTTTGTTTTTGTTTTTTGGCTGGACCGGAACTCGATGTGTAGACCAGACTGACCTCGAACTCGTTGAGATCCGCTTGCTTCTGCAGTGCACCCCCCCCCCCCGAATGTTTAGTTCTCTAATCATCCCTTTTCTTTTTTCCTTCCTTCCTTTTCCTTGCCTTTCCTTTCTCTACTTTCTTTCTTTCTCTCTCCCTTTACCTCTCCTCCTCTTAACTTTACTGCTACTAAAACTGTTGTACACACCCCCGCCCTGGATATTTCGTACATATATGTAGATGCTGTGTGACTGTGGTGTGAATAAGAGTACTCTACCCTGCCCTCTTCATCTGAAGTTGCTAGGCCAGTGCAACCTTAGAGAGTTTCAAAAAACGGGAACTACCGTGGCTCAGAGGTCAGAGAACAATTTTCAGGAATTGGTTCTTTTTCTCCCATGTGGGTGCTCGGTCTTTGCTCAGTGATCCATGCCCATGGTCTGTTTGTTCTTGGAAATATGGTCTCATGTAACCCAGGCTGGTCTCAACCTTGCTATATTATTGAGGCTGACCCTGAATTCCTGATCCTCCAGCCCTTACCTCCTAGGTGTTGGGTTTTCTGGTGTCTGGCACCCTGCCTGGCTCTGTAGTAACTTTTGAAGAGTCTCACATTTTTTAAGAAAGTTAAACGTTTTGCTATTTCTAATTGAAGTCGCCTGGGATGCTTAAAAATGCCTGTGTTTCTTTCTTTTTCTTTTTTTTCCCTGTCTACTTACAGTGGCTCCAAAGGAGAGGTTTGTAAACTGCAGTAAGAGTTGGTAGTAAGTCCCATAAGCTTCTTGGGCCACAGGGTCAGGAATTGTTCAGTTCTACTTTAGTAACTCTGTGTCTGTAGTTACCCTGTGATGTTCTGGTTGTGAGCCACAACTGTTTCTCAAAAGCAGAGGAGTTAATCTTTAAAAGAGGGCATGTTGCCTGGAGTGTGTGTAGCTCAATGGGAGTGAACTTAGTTGGCAAGCATGAGGCTCTGAGTTTAGCCTCCAGATACAGCAGCAGATATACAAAAGGTTTAGGATTACCGTAAAGTACCAAGAAGGCTAAGGCGTTGTCTGGTGTCTGGCACTTGGACCTCTTCGGATCTGCCGGATGAATCGGTTCAGGTGCTTGAAAACCTTCTATTATATGCTTTAAGATTTTTATTATCCTTGTATACATGTGTATGGTGGTGGGTGTGGCTTTGCATGTGCCACAGCACACACATGGAGGCCAGAGGACAACTTTGTGGAGTCCATTCTTTCTTTTAGTGGGTTCTGGAGACTGAATTCAGGTCTCCAAGCTTCTGTGGTAAGCTCTTGTGCCTACTGAGCCCCCTTCTACTATAGTTGTCTTAACTTGGTCTGGCCTGCACTTGAAACTGGAGGCCATATAGGCGACTGTACATGTGTTAAAAGCACAGTCAAATCTTGAAAATGTTGCACTCCAAATTCAAATATCTGTTAAGTGTTATGTCTTGTTTTGGTTGGTATGGGAAGCAATAACCTAAATGAAATCTTCAAGTGAATGTCTTCACTTGACTTCAGCACTGAACCTTTAGAAAATCCCACCCCTAAATCTGACACACTTTACATTTTTTAGTATACTTTCATATTAGTGTGTGCGTGTGCGTGTGCGTGTGCGTGTGCGTGTGCGTGTGTGTAAAGGTGCCACACGTGGTGGCTAGAGGATGACTTGCAGCTGCCCTGGGGATTGAAGTCAGTCAGCAGGCAAGTAGGTACCTTTACCTGCTGAGCCCACCCTCCACTCTTGCATGATTGGGAGTGAGGGGGAAGTGAGTGATGTGGTTTCTTTATTTTAGCTTTGAATAAAGTCTCCTTATGTAGCTTAGGGAGGTCTTGAACTCACAATCTTCTCACTTCTGTTTCCTTAGTGCTGGGATTACAGATGTATATTACCATGCCTACTTTTTTTTGAGATAGGGTCTCACTGTGTATTCCTGCAGAGCTGCTCATCCCACCGCAGCCAGGGAGCAGAAACAGAGCAGGAGGAAGAGTGCAGAAAAATATACCTTCTTCAGGAACACATCCTCAGTGACCTACTTCCTCCATCTAGGTCCCACACCCTAAATCCTGCTACCTCATGCCCATTAAGTTATGTGTCTATAACTTAATCAATTGTTTAATCAATTGATGATAGATCTCTCATGATCCAGTCACCTACCAAAGGAGGTGCACACTGCTGTATTACCAAGCTATCAACTCATGAATTTGTGAGACCATTTCAATACCCAAACCATAATAGTGCAGATTAAGTCTGGCCCTTGGTATGTGTGTTTTGAAAAGTACTATATAAATCCTCATTACAAGGGGAAAATAAAGTGTTACCTCTCGGACTTGAAGTTGTCTTCCCTATAAAATGAGACATTTTTCCCAGTGGGTAACATGGTTTATCTGCCTGTTTCCTGGTTGTAGGTGACACAGGCCTGCTCTGGCATCACATATTTGTATATATGGGCGAGTTTTCTCAGGTGTGCAGGATTACATGGATTTCATATTAGGGCTGTGTAATAGTTATTGTTAATTGTCAACAGGTTCTAATATTACCTTGGGGACAGATCTCTGGCACACCTTTGAGGTACTGTCTAGGTTGCAGATAGCCTCTAAATGTCTGGGAGAGATTGTCTTGACTAGGTTAATTTATGAGAGAAGTCCCATCTTCACTCTGGCAAGGATCCTGAACTGTAAAAATTGGACGTGAGCTGAGCAATGCAGTCATTGCTTTTCTGCTTCCTGATTGTGGTTGTGATGTGACCAGCTGCTATAAACTCCTTTACTTTCCCACCGTGATGTGATGGACTGTACCCCAAAACTGTAAGCCAGAATAAGCCCTTTCTCCTTAAGTGGATTTTGTCAGAGTATTTTATCACGGTAACAGGAAAGGTAGACAGAATGAAGTCAAGGTGTACAAGAATTAAAGGCAGCTCTAGGCTCTCATGTCTTCTGTCTTTTCCAGGAACTCTTTGTAAGGGACTCAGACTCCATTCTTGAAGAAAAGAAAACAGGTAGAAAAGATGGTGGCTGATTGCCTGACAAATTGTTACCAGGTATGTAGGAACTGTGTCTCACAAATGACATGCATACCCCTATCTTGTAGGCACACCTCCTTTGGGGCAGATTTATGTCCAGAGCTTCTAAAACAAGTAGAAGCCCCCTCAAGAACTGAGTGCCTAGCTGAATTTCTGAGAGTGGGGACTCTGATGCAGTTGAGGTATTACCTGAATGTCATCCCAGGATTTCAATAATTATTAATTACTCTTTGCACTTTATGGCCAGTTCAGTTTAGTTTTTCTGACAGATGATAAGGAAGATCTAGTGTCTGTTTTTTTGTTTTGTTTTGTTTTGTTGAGTATTTATCATCATTAAGGTAATTATGTAGTGTGCTTAGAAGTATGTTTTAAGAAATTGAGAGAAGAGCTTCTAGTCTGGTTGTGGCAAGGTCTGTTCACCTGTCAGAATGGTCATTAATAGTAAATGTCTGGAGCAGAGCAACAGAGTATGTGTAGATGTGGACAAGGTTAGGGCTGCCAATCCCTGGGGCAGTCAGTGGAAGCTCTCCGTTTTCTGTATGGGTTTTACAGAAACCCTTCTTCAGCTGTAGAGAACATTGGTGCATATGTTATTGTTTACTCAAGCTCTCTCTCTCTCTCTCTCTCTGTCTCTCTCTCTCTCTCTGTCTCTCTTTGTGTCTCTCTCTCTCCCTCTCTCTGTGTGTGTCTCTCTGTCTCTGTCTTTCTCTCTCTCTCTCTCTCTCTCTCTCTCTGTGTGTGTGTGTGTGTGTGTGTGTGTGTGTGTGTGTGTGTGTGTGTGTGTGTGTGTGTGGTTTAGGTCTCGGTAACTTTTGATGATGTGGCTGTGGACTTCACCCAAGAAGAATGGATTTTATTGGATCAGGCTCACAGAGACCTCTACAGAGAAGTGATGCTAGAGAACTACCAGAACCTGGCCTCAGCAGGTAGCACTGCCACCACTCTGTATGGCTTCTTGGGGAGAAGGATGGCATGTCCTGGCCGTCCTGAGGGATCAAAATGCAAGGGAAAGTAGAGGCACACAGACTTTGTCCTAATACCATAGTCTGTCTGTGGAAGATAAGATCCAAGATTCCCAGTGGATGCCTAAAACTGTAGATGGAACTGAACTGTATATACAGTTATGGTAACATTTTGAGTTCCTTTTTCCTGATTTTATGGATTGGAGATTTAATTTTTGGAAACAAGATCTCATTGTAGTTAAAGTTGACCTTGAACTCCTGATCTTTCTCTACTTCCCAAGTGCCAGTATTACACATATGTACTGTAACATCTGGCTGGGAACTTAAGAGTAGATATTATTCATTAGCTTTAGGCTGCAGAGATGGTCAGTAGTTAAGAGCATTTGTTACTCTTGCAAAGGACCCAGGTTTGGTTCCCTGCTCCCAAACAGCAGCTCACAACTTTACCTGTAAGTTCAGTTCCAGGGACTGGCTGCCTCTTCTGGCCTCTGTGTGCACAAAGTACACATGTACATGAAAGCAAAACACTCAAATAAGAAATAAAATTCCTGAGTGAGATGTGGTGGCACACATCTTTAATGCCAGCACTCGGAAGGTAGAATTGAATTTGAGGCCAGTCTAGTCTAAACCTAGTTCTAGGACAGCCAGGGCTGTAACATAGAGAAACTCTGTCTTGAAAAACCAAAAACAGGAAAAAAGAAAACTATAACTCCTGAGAGTAGATACTAGCAACCTCAGCATACAGGTTTCTCCTCCACACTTTACAACTTTGTTTTGGCATATCTGAATTGCCATCATGACTACTGTTATGTTTTGAGTAATTAGTAATCACTAATTACATAGTGATTAGTAAAATGAGGGGCTATATTGTTTTTTTGTTGTTGTTGTTTTGTTTTGTTTTGTTTTGAGACAGTCTCAGTATGGCTGAACTGGAACTTGTTGAGAACTGGAACTCATTGTGTAAATCAAGCTGGCCTTGAATTCTTAGAGATCTGCTTGCCTCTGTCTCCCAATTGCTGAGATTAGAGGTTTGTGCCACCATGCCTGGCAAGTTTTACTGTATTGCAACAAGCAAGCCACTCAGAAAGGTGCTAAATGACTGTGGAGCAGGTAGCAGGTGCAAAGGATGATTTGCATGATAGTGTGAGATTCTATAATGCTACACAATGGTGTGCAATTTTATATGAATCTTTTCTGGAAATTTGTATTTAATATTTCCAGGACAGGTGGGTAGTATGTAACTAACTACTTACAGCAAAACCATGAATAAGTGGGGGCTGCTATGCCTTTTAATTTTCTGTAGTGGCTCTCAAAATGCTGTACTAGATGAACGATGGACAGAGTGGTACATAGCTCTAATCCTAGCATTTGGGAGGCATAGGATTTGTGAGTTTAAGGCCAGCCTGGTCTATAGAGTGAATTCTAGAACAGCCAGAGCTCATAGTGAGAACCTGTCTCAAAATATGAAAGTCCCTGTATTTAATCCCCATCACTGCCCCCTCAAAAAAAGAGAGAAAAGAATATAGAAATGTAGTCATTCTCTTCTTTTGATGTACTGAATAAAAAACTCAAAGTACATTCTACTTATATGAATTTGACCCAGATGAAAGTAAAATTATCTTTGTTTCACTTTACTTTCTATTTGACCTGAAGTATTAGTGTTTTATTAGAGTGTATGTAATCATTAATTTGTGTGCTAATTCAGCAGTAATTAATCATCAGGACGTAGAAAAGGAAGTGTTTGCTTGTTTAACCTCTCTGAAATAATTGCCCTGCTTTCATTGGAAGCACAGCTTCATGGCCTGGCATGGTGGCACACACCTTTAATCAAAGTACTCAGGAAGAAGACAGGCAGCTTTTTGTGAGTTTGAGGCCAACCTGGTCTACCTATCAAGTTCCAGGACAGCCAGGACTACATAGTGATACCCTGTCCAAAAACAAAGCAAAACAAAATAGAACAGCAACAATAAAGAAGTCCAGAATTATACTGATTTTTATACTCTTTTGCATGAACTTCCTCCATGAATGCATTTTGCCATGTGTAAGGATGTGAGGTCATCAAACCCAGTCTTATCTCCTGGTTGGAAGAAGAGGATTTGCACAGAGAAGATCTCCAAGGTGAGTGTTTGTGAAGAATATGTTTAGAATTAAAATGTGAAATCTTTTAAAGATGTACTTTTCTTAGACTTTAAGCATGGGCCATGTGCCTGAAAAGGTACAGAATCCTTTACTTCTTAGACTCTTATTTTTTGCCTTCTCGGGTTTTCCTGTAATTTTGCAAAATGACCTATTGTGTTTCATGCTTATTGTCTGTTAATATATTCTTTACTCAGATCTTCGCTACTTTGCAGCACTAATAGTGTGATTCTTTTTCGACGTGAGTTTTAATTTTCAAAGAGTCAGTTTGAAATAAAACATTTAAAACTCACATCTTTAGTGTAGTCAATTTATTGACCTGATCAAAATTATCACACTTTTCTTTCTTCCTAGCTAGGTTCAGTAGGAACGATCAAAAAAGCCCTGTGTCTTTTAACTTTGTAAGTGACCATTTATTTTTCTTCAACTCTTAAATATTTTTTTCTGTTTATCTCCAGAATGGGAAATGCCACTTGGCACCAAAGAGTCAACATTTCGTCAGGAGTTTTTGAGGAGACAGACCTCCAGTGGAATAGAAACAGTAAGATTGACCAGAGATATTTGTCATTTCCCTCATTCATAGGCAATTGTGAATTCCATTATAGGAATCCAAATAGCATGCACCCAGGAAGGAACAGCCCGATATCTGAGAAGTATGTTGAACATAATGAATTTTGGGGTGTCCCAAACCTATCATAAAACCTGTTTGTTAAGAGATCCCTCTGGGGCTAGATAGATGACTCAGCGTTTAAGAGCACTGACTGTTTTTCCAGAGGTTCTGAGTTCAGTTCCCAGCAACCACGAGGTGGCTCACAACCACCTTGAATGAGATCTGGTGCCCTCTGCTGGCATGAAGGCAGAAGACTGTATAGACTGTAAACATAATAAATAAATAAAATAAATAAATAAATAAATAAATCCCTCTGACCAAGATGGCTCAGTGGGTAAAGACTCTTTGATTTCAGGTCTGACAACTTGAGTTTGATTCACAGTACCCACATGGTAATGGTAAGAGGAAAGAATTGTCTTTCACAGGTTGTCCTCTTAACCTCTTCATGCACAATGCCACATACATTCTCCCCTCCAAAATAAATTTAATTGTATTTGTTTATTGTGTTTATTTAAAACAGGTTCTCCTATAGCCCTGGCTGGCCTGGTATTCACTGTCTAGATGTCTCAAACTCTGAGATCTACATACCTCACCCAGCATAAAGAGAGGGAGGGAGGGAGAGAGAGGGAGAGGGAGAGAGAGAGAGAGAGAGAGAGAGAGAGAGAGAGAGAGAGAGAGATCCCACAAGTATAACCAGATACTAGCTTTTAAGGCAATTTTGTGTATATCCTATTTTGTGTATATCCTGATTATTTTGAGCTTAGATCAAATGGCAACTACTGTTGCATCTTTCACTTTGAAAGAAAACATGATCTGAGTGGTAGTGGTGCACGCCTCTAATCCTAGCACTTGGGAGGCAGAGGCAGGGGTATCTCTGAGTTTGAGGCCAGCCTAGTCTACATATCAAGTTCCAGGACAGCCAGAGCTATTTAATAGAGAGGCACCTAGGTACCTTCTCAAAAAGAAAGAAAGAAGAAAAGGCAAGGAGTCAGGTGTGGTGTCACATCCTTTAATTCCAGCATTCAGAAGACAAAAGCAAGTGATCTCTGTGAGTTTTAAGCCAGCCTTCTCTACGTATTGAGCTTCAGGCTAGCCATTGCTATATAGTAAGACCCTCTTTCAAAAGCAAAACTACTAAAATACTGAGGCATCTTTCCAAATTAAAATAGATGGTTCTAGACTTTAGGATAGGAATTTTGCATGTAGTCAAAATGGCAAAAATCATTTTTCTGCCTTCACTTAAGGAGTTCTTCAATAAGGATGAAAAATCTCTAACCATAAGTCATTCCTTTATCAACAGGTCAGAAGCCATAGTGCACGAGAACTCTGTTACTATGTACAATGTGGAGAAATCTTCAGTGAGCATTCATATTTCAAGACACATGTGAAAACTCACAGTACTTGCAACACTGGACATTTTACTCACTCAAGTCATGATGCCTCTGTTCAAGTACACACCATAAAAACATATCCATGTAAGATTTGTGGAAAAGCCTTTGGACGTTCTTCAAATCTTAACAGACACTTACGAAGTCACACTGGAGAAAAACCCTATGAATGTAAGGAATGTGGGAAAGCCTTCACTACCTACTCAAGGCTAGTGGAACATTTTAGAACTCATACTGGAGAGAAACCATATAAATGCAAGGATTGTGGAAAAGCCTTTGCTAAGAGGTCAGGCCTTATAACACATATATCAACCCATGCTTCAGAGAAACCCTTTGCATGTAAAGAGTGTGGGAAAGCTTTTGCTTCATCCCCACGCCTTAGTCAGCATGTGAGAATTCACAGTGGAGAGAGACCCTACATATGTAAGGAATGTGGAAGAGCCTTCCTCACTTCCTCATATCTTCGGAACCATATAGGAAGAACTCACAGTGGAGAGAGACCCTATATATGTGGAGAATGTGGAAAAGCCTTCCATTCTTACTCAAATCTGCGTAGACATGTGAGAACTCACAGTGGAGAAAGACCCTATATATGCAAGGAATGTGGGAAAGCCTTTCTCAATTCCTCATACCTACATAACCATATAAGAAAAACTCACAGTGGAGAGATGCCTCACATATGTGGTGAATGTGGGAAAGTCTTCCACGCTTCCTCATACCTTCGGAGACACTTAAGAACTCACAGTGGAGAGAGACCATGTATATGTAAAGAATGTGGGAAAGCCTTCCTCAACTCCTCATACTTACGCAAACATTTAACCATTCATACTGGAGACAAACCCTACGAGTGTAAAGAATGTGGGAAAGCCTACCGTAGGTACAATCTGCTACATGACCATTTAAAAACTCATGCAGTAGAAAAGCCGTTTGAATGTGATGTATGTGGAAAATCCTTTCAGTATTTTTCATACCTTACTAAACACGTTCGTATTCACACCGGAACAAAACCCTATAAGTGTAAGTACTGTGGGAAAGATTTCACTACTTCCTCAAGCCGAACTGAGCATATCCGAACTCACACTGGTGAGAGGCCCTATGAGTGTACAGAATGTGAGAAAACCTTCACTTCATCCTCTAACCTCATTCACCATGTAAAAATCCACACTAGAGAGAAACCTTTTGTTGAGAATGTAGGGAAGCCTACAGCAGATTTTACCTACTAACCGAATAGTAAGTAACTCAAGATGATCAAAATGACTTCAGATAGGAGGAATGCCAAAAATCCTTAATCTCTCCATGTCTTGATTACATCATACTGGAGTTTACACTATTAAGAAAGCAATGTGGAACAGCCCCCAATTATGACAGTTTCCTTTGAAAACATAAAAAGCCCCTATTCAAGATGCCCCATGAATTTAAGGAAAGAAATATTAAAGCCCTCACTATTTCCTAGGAACTTACTGGATATGTGAGACTTACAACGAAGGGAAATACACTGATAGAAGACATACAGAAGGTTGTAGTTCTGTTAGTATTTTTAATTCATTTGTTCCAGAAGTTAGAAAACTGTTTGAAGGTAAGGAATGTGAGTAAGCCACATGAACTTAACCCTCAGTGTTTAGTAAACATTATAATTCATATCCATGAGAAATCAACTATATGGAAATTTTGTCCATGTGCCCTGAAATGTGGTATTGCTGGCAGCAGTAAGGCCTTTGGATGACTGTTTATTTTGAACTTTTGATATCTGTCCTGATATTCCTAGAGTGATATGTTTCTTTCCTCTAAGCAATGCCATTTCATCTTGGTTGTTAAAACTTCTGGGTAGCAAGCTGGTGATATGAGGACTTTTGGAATATAAACATTGTTTTAGTGTAGTGTAGGTAAGTTGGCTTGTCATACTATTAAACATGCTACCCTATAATAACTTACAGCAGCTAAGTTTCATAGTACAGTTCTCATGGTCTTTAAAATGTCCTTTTTCCTCTTTCACAACTTTTAGGTAAAAGGTGATATAAATAAGTAAGCAAACAAACTAGCAAAGTCCTTTCCCCAAAACACATCAAGCTGTGAATCCATAAGTGGATCAGTCATTGATGAAGCCAGAGCCCTCGTGATCCAGGTATCTCTCACATCCCACAATGTGAACACTACAGCCCTGGGGATCAAGTCTTCAGTACATAAACTTTAGGGTACATTTCAGATACAAATCATAATACAATTCCTCCCAGGTTCGGGTAATTCCTTAAGATTACAAACACTGCAAACGCTTGGGACTATGTGTTTTATAGTCATTTTATATTTATGTTTGTTTTTTGTGTGTGTGTGTGTGTGTGTGTGTGTGTGTGTGTGTGTGTGTTGGAAGTGGGAAAGGCATATGTGTCACAGTGCACATATGAACATCAGAAGGCAACTTGCCGGAGTCTGTCTGTTCCTTCCACCCAGGGATAAAACTTGGGTTGTCAGGCATGGCTTGGCAAGCACCTTTTGCTCACTGAGCCATCTCACTGGCCCATACTTTTCATATTCAAAACAATTGGGGGACTGGAGAGGTGGTCATGTGGTTAGTAATACTTGCTGCTATTTCAGAGGACCAGAGTTTAGTTCCCAGGACTTATGTAGATGTGTTCACAACTGCTTATAACTTAAGCCCCAGGGGGTCACACTCCTGGTCTCTGGATACACATGTGCAAGTGAACATACACACACCATGAATAATGAAGTCTTTTCAAAAAGAACACCAATCCAGAGGTCAAACCATATTCTTTTCCGGGAACCCACCAAACCTGTATGTTCCAGGTCCTAAATCAATCTAGATGAAAGCTGAAGAGAAATAGAGACATAACCTATATTCTTACTCATTAGAATTATTCAAAATTATTGATCTTAAAATTTTTTTTCAGCCATACTTTCCTTCTTAGCAGAAATTTCAATAAATATTGTGGCTAATACTTTTTTGCTTGCTTTTACCCCAGCCTCTGTCGCTCTGTTTTTGCCTCTGTGGGTCTGGATGGGGTATTATACTGTGCCCTTTCCCGGTACAATGCATAAGAAACTCCATTTAGTCGGGCACCGTATGACTTCCCATAGAAACTCATAGCAACCATCTCTTCATGGTTGGTGTTTTATGTATTATTTGTTGTGCTTTGGGTAGTGCCTAGGGTACAGCTGCCACATTCTTACTTTTTTATTTTGTAGAAGGCAGCACATACATGGTTCATAACAGAAGACAACTTGCAATAGACAGTTCTGCCTTATGCATTCCAGGGATCAAATTCAGGTTGTCATGCTTAGCAGCAAATGGCCTTTCATGCTGAGCCATCTTGGGGTCCACTTTATGTTTTTAATTGATTTTTAAGACTTGGGCATCCTAAATTACTTCATAATTATAGGGTTTTGTTTTATTTTCTGTTGTTTGTTTTTTAGTTTTCTTTTTATTGGCAGTCAGTCTACCCTGAGATATGTCCTTAGCTCCACATTTCCCCCCACACCCTTTCTGATAATATGGTCTTACTGTATAGTCCAGACTGTCCTGGGACTCATGCGGTCTACTTTCAGCCTCTAGCGTGCAAGGATTAAACCACATCATTTTAAAATTTGAAGATGTAGTGGAAGGTGTAGGAGTTTCCATCTTACGGGTTTTCATTCTTGTGATCGTATCCTTTTTTTTCCAATTCTTTAAAATTGAAAATAGATTTTTTTCATGCAATATATTCTAATTAAGGTTTCCTTTCCCAACTCCCCTCCCATTCAGATGGAGGTAGTGACACATGCCTTTAATTCCAGCACTGGGAATCTGAGTTTGAGGCCAGCCTGGTCTACATATGGAATTCCAGGGCAGCCAGAATTACATATTGAGACCCTGTCGAAAACAAAACCCCTTCAAAGACACCTAAAAAGTAACAATAACATAAAATAAGACATAATATAAACAAACATACAGAAGGGAAAGAGCTAAAGAAAAAGCACAAGAAACACAGAGCACAGAGGCACATTCACACATAGAAATCCCAGAAAAACACAAGATTGTAAACTAATATATATGCAGAGACCTTTAAGATGGGGGGAAAAACAGCCAGATGTTGGTGGCACATGCCTTTAATTCCAGCATTCGGGAGGTGGAGGCAGGCAGATCTCTTGTGAGTTCGAGGCTGGTTTGCAGAGCAAGTTCCAGGACAGGCTCCAAAGTGCGCAGAGAAACCTTGTCTTAAAAAAGGGAGAGGGGGAAACTCTCCAGTAATGCCATTGGGTTTGTGTTGGCCATCTACTGCTGGATGTGGAGCCTGCCCTTAAGAGTGGTTTGTATGTCCAGTGAGACTCCATTGAGAAAACTCCATTGAGAGTGTTATCAATTGGAAACAGCTTCTGTGTTAGATATGGGGACTTGTGTCCACTTACCCTCTCGACACTGGGACAGATGCCATCTGGCTCAGACCATTGCATGCTGCCACAGTCTCTAAGTTTGTGTGTCATTCCTGCTGTGTTTAGAAGGCCTTGTTTCCTTGGTTCTTCAATCACCTGAGGGGAGGAATTTGATGGAAACATCCCATTTAGGACTGAGTATTCCAAGGTCTCTTCCCTCTCTGTACATTGTCCAGTTGTGGGTCTGTGTGTGTATTCCCATCTGCTGCAGGAGGGAGTTTCTCTGATGATGGCTGAGCAAGACACTGATCTTTAAGTATAGCAGAATGTTGTTAATGGTAGTTTTATTGCTATATTCCTTTAGAACAGTAGTTTTTGGTTTTCTCCCAAGATCATGGCCTATATAGTCTCAAGTTCTTGGCCACCCCAGCAGTGTTGGGGATGGGTTCCATCTCATGGGAGTAGACCAATCCAGTAGGTCGGCTATTCCCACAAGCTTTGTCCACTATTATACCAGTGTACCTTGCCAAAGTTCACCATTGTAGACTGAAATGTTTGTAGAATGCAGAGTTATTTTCCAGTGCCAGGAACACTAGGCAGTAGGAGTGAAGGCTCTTAAGTAGGTGCCAGCCCAACTTCTCCATGTTCAATGAATTATGTAGGTGTTCTTTTTTTTTTTAAAGATTTTATTTATTATGTATACAACATTCTGCTTCCATGTATATCTGCACACCAGAAGAGGGCATCAGATCTCATAATGGATGGTTGTGAGCCACTATGTGGTTGCTGGGAATTGAACTCAGGACCTCTGGAAGAGCAGTCAGTGCTCTTAACCTCTGAGCCATCTCTCCAACCCTTGTAGGTGTTCTTTCCAGCAACGAAGCCTTACCATCAGTTTGTGGAGAGCAACCAAGAGCCTTGGGATCAGCCTGGGTTGTTTGGGGTTTTCATGAAGCCCTTTGGCTGACCACTTGATTAGATGTAACCCAAGTTCTCAGTTTCATTTAATACAAGAGATTTCTAGTTGCAGTTGTCTCCCCAGTTATTTGGTGATTCCATTCATATATATGAAGACATATGTACACATAAGCTTCTACTGTGTTAGTTTTCCATATGACCCCTCAAATCACCATTAGTTTTAGCTGTCTATCTTAGGGTTTCTATTGATGTGAAGAGACACCATGACCACGGCAACTCTTTTCATTGGGCGGCTTTCAGTTCAGAGGTTCAGTCCAACATCATCATAGTGGGACATGGCGGTGTGCACATAGAAGAGACATGGTGTCGGAGAAGGGGCTGAGGATTCTGTAGCTTTGATCTACAGGCAACAGGAAGTGAACTGTCTCTTTGGGTGTGGCTTAAACATATATGAGACCTCAAAGCCTGCCTCCACAGTGACACACTTCCTCCAACAGGCCACACACATCTACTCCAATAAGACCACACCTTATAATGGTGCCACCCCCTTTGGGGGCCATTTTCTTTCAACCACCACAGTCTCTCCCTTTATTTCCTCCTTTACCCTACTTTTCCCTCTCCTTCCCCGTTTGATCTTTCCCTTCCAGTCCCGATCCCGTCCCCCCCACCCCATCTATAACTATCTGTTCTATTTTACCTCCCAGGGAGTTCATGTGTCCCATCTAGTTGCTACCTCCATACTTGACCTCCGGGTCTATGGATTGTAGCTTGGTTAATATTTAATGGGTAATATCCACATATAAGAATACATACCATATTTATCTTTCTGGGTCTTGGATACCTCAAGATGATGTTTTTCTAGTTATATCCATTTACCTGTGAATTCCATGATTTCTTTGGTTTTTGTTTTGTTTTTTAGCAGCTGAGAATATTCCATTGTGTAAATGTTCCACACTTTCTTTATCCCAGTCATCTGTTGAGGGGCATCTAATTGTTTCCAGGTTCTGGCAATTATGACTACAGCAGCAATGAACATGGTTGAGCAAGTGTCTCTGTGGTAGGATGTAGAGTCCTTTGGCATACGCCCAAGAGTGGCATAGCTGGAGCTTGAGGAGATCTATTCCCAGCTTCCTAAGGAACTGCCACACTGATTTCCATGTGGCTGTACAAGTTTGCATGAGAGATTATAGGGATTTCTTAATTTTGGCAGCCCAGATTTCTCCAACTATTTCTTTGATTTTAGAAGTTTTCCTGATAACCTTAAATGTGTTCTGTTGCAGTGCCTTCTATACTTTGTTTTTTTTTTTTTTAAAGATTTCCCTTTTTTTTTTTTTAACACTTGTTTATTTATTATGTATAGTGTTCCGCCTGCATGTATGCCTGCAGGCCAGAAGAGGGCACCAGATCTTGATGGATGGTTGTGAGCCATGTGGTTGCTGGGAATTGAACTCAGAACCTCTGGAAGAACAGACAGTGCTCTTAACCTCTGAGCCATTTCTCCAGCCCTATACTTTGTTTTAAAAGTTTGTTTGTTTGTTTTTGAGGCAGTCTCTTACTTGAGACAGTACCCCAGGATGGTCTAAAACTCACTATGTAGCTCAGGATGACATTGAACTTGTAATCCTCCTGCTTCTACTTTCATTTTTTTTTTAAGTTTTTTTTTTTAAGTTCTTTTGTTTGGCTTTTGTTTTTGTTTTGTTTTTTGGCTGGGCATAATGGTGCACATCTGTAATCACTGTACCTGGGAGGCAAAAGCAGGTGGATCTCTGTGAGTTCAAGGCTAGCCTAGTCTACATAATGAGTTCCAGGACAGCCAGAGCTGAGACTCTGTCTCAAAAAAACAAAACAACAAGGGCTGGAGAGATGGCTCAGAGGTTAAGAGCACTGACTGCTCTTCCAGAGGTCCTGAGTTCAATTCCCAGCAACCACATGGTGACTCACAACCATCCATTATGAGATCTGGTACCCTCTTCTGGTGTGCAGATATACATGGAAGCAGAATGTTATATACATAATAAATAAATAATCTTTAAAAAAACAAAACAAAACAAAAAAACAAAAAAGAGCACTGACTGCTCTTCCCCAGGACCTGGGTTCAGTTCCCAGCACCCACATGGGAGCTCACAACTGTCTGTAACTAGGATCCAACACTCTCACATAGACATATATACAAGCAAAACACCAATAAAATAAAAATAATAAATTAAAAAATTTTAAGTTACGTATACGTGTGCCATCTCTGTGTGGGTAAGTACAGGTGCCCACAGTGGCCAGAGGTGTCGGATCCCATGGAGCTGGAGTAACAGGCAGTTTTGAACTGCTGAGAACATAACTTGGGTCCTTTGCAAAAGTAATGCATGCTTTTAAGTGCTGAACCAGCTCTCTAGCTCCTGCCTTCTCTTCCTAAATGCTAGGATTACAGGGGTGTACCCATACCCTTGCATGCTTTCTGTAGTTATAGTTCCAATTTTGTATACTTAGCTTACTGCTGACAGAATTTATGTCTAATCTTACTTTTCTCCTTATAGGCATAAAATAGTCATAGCACCTCTATTTCAGCAAAAGCAGTAGAAGGGGTATTTGGGGGTTTTTGTTTGTTGATGTTGTGTTTGTTTTTTGAGACAGGGTTTCTCTGTGTAGCCCTGGCTGTCCTGGAACTTGCTCTGTAGACCAGGCTGACATCAAACTCAGAGATCTGCCTGCTTCTGCCTCCCAATTGCTGGGATTAAAGGTGTGCGCCACCATAACCCAGCTAATTGGAATGCGCAGTGAAAAAGACTGCTTGTTCTGCAAGCATAAGTACCTGAGTTTGAATTCCAGCACATGCATGGAATGCTGAGTATGGCTATAAACACCTTTTTCCCCAGCACTGGGGATGGAGACAGGTGGATCCTGAGAGCTCACTGGCCACCCAGCCTACTCTATAGGTGAACTTTCAATTCAGTGAGAAACCCTATATCAAGAGACTAAAGGTATAGAGTGGTCAAAGAACTCTGGTCTTGGCATGTGTATGCATACACATGTCAATTTCACTGCACTGCACACAAAATAAAATGTGCATAATTATTATATAAAATGGTGGTTTTCAGGCCAGCAAAATGGCTTAACAGATAAAGGTTTTTGTCTTGAAGCCCGCTGACCATCAGTCAACCTCTTAAAACCATGGTGGGAGAAAAGAACCAACATCCTCAAGTAGTCCCCTGACTTCCACATGTGTACACGTGTGCTAAAACTCTCATTTCCCTGTCTTGTCCTCCCATCTCCCCACTGCTGTTTTCTTTCCCCCTTTCAAAATATTGCCCTAAAAAGGCTTGGAAGTTAGAATTTACATCAAAACCACAACCCACAGAATGTTTATTAAACTTGCATACAACAGAATGGCTTAGTGGGTAAAGACACTTGGTCTTAGTTCAACTCCTGGAGCGCACATGATGCCTCACAGTAATGTACCTGCCACCACCTCCTCCAATAAATGGAATTTTAATAATGAAGGAAACTTGCATACCGGACCCAATTTTGAGAGTTGCCTGATTAAACAAGTATCTGTAGTCCTCATAGGATGTAAACAACCAGAATGAGCCCAGTGTGATGGTGGGTGTTTGTAATCTCAGCACTCTAGAGGAGGAGGCAGGATGGTTACACTTTCTGGCTAGACTGGACTATATCATGAGACCCTATCTCAATGGGGGAAAAAGTCTTAATGAATCTAAAACATGATAAATTAAACTCAAATATAATGAAATTGGTGGAACCTAAGATCAGTTTTTGCCCTTGTATTTTTTTTTTTTTTAAGAAAATGTCTCATACAGCTCTGGATATCTCAAACCTCATGTGCCATGGAGGATGAACTTCTGGTCCTCCTTTGGCCTCTCCCAGAGTTTCAAGCATACAAGGCAAGCACCCTACTAACTGTGCTACAGCGCCAACTCCAAGTGCATATGCTTTTATTTATTTGGGGGCTCAGTGTTACTGTTTGCTAAGCTGTCCTCAAACTTCTGAGCTAACCTGATCTACCTCAATTTCTTGATTAGGTAGAAGTAATCTCTGAAAAGGGATTGAGGGCTCTGAATCATGCCACACACTATAACACTAGTACTTGGGAAGCCGAAGCAGGACAATCACAAGTCAGCCCATGCTACATAGTGAGACTCTCAAAAAAGGATTCACTGAGACACTGAAAAAAGGGTCTCATCATATATCCCTGGCTGTCCTAGAACTCCCTTTGTAGATCAGGCTGGCCTCAAACTCAGAGATCTGCCTGACTCTGCCTCCTGAGTGCTAGGACTAAAGGTGTGTGCCACCGCACCCAGCTCCAGCACACACTTTATAACAGAGCCTCAGAGCACATGCAAAGAGACAATGAGAAAATGCTCCCATCCACATGCATTCAAAGTAAATCTCTCTCATAATAATAAGAACTTGGGCTGGTGAGGTGGTTCAAGGTGAGATGGGTAGAGGTGCTTCCCAGAACTCAGGATGGAAGGAGAGAAGCGACTCCCACAAGTTGTTTTCTGATCTCCACATATGAACTGTGGCATGCAGGCATGCATGTATAAGCATGCACACAGGCACATATACTCTTAACAGAGAATAAGACCTATAGATAATTTATAATAATTGAAGATGAAATTAAATGAGAAGTCAAACAAAATAACAGGCAAAATACTTGGAAACTACAAAATAACTTACAAAGAACTTAAAATAGTGGATCAGAGAGAAGATAAGAGGAGAAATTGGTTGTTTTGTTTGTTTGGTTTTTCGAGACATTGTTTCTTTGTGTAGCCTTGGCTGTCCTGGAACTATTTTATAGACCAGAATGGCCTCAAACTCTCAGAGATCCCCTCCTGCTCTGCTTCCTGAGTGCTGGGATTAAAGGCGTGTATAACTGTGCTGCAATAAGCTCTGATGCACAAGTATCATAAGCATAATTTAATTAATAATTTTTATTCTTTGATATGTATGTGTGTGTGCCCCATGAATGCTTGGTGTCTGGAGATTCAAAATGGGTATTGGAGCCCCTGGAACTGGAGTTACAGACAAGTGTCAGCCACCATGTGGATGCAGGGAATGCAACTTAGAGCCTCTTTGAGAGAAACCAATGCTCTTATATGCTGAACCATGAGACTTCTTAATAAAATGTGTTAGTAACTCGGTGTCAAAGGGTAACTTATGAAGCTGGAGAGGTGGCTCAGAGTTACAGCATCTGATGTTGGTGCAGAGGACCAAAGTGTGGTTCCCAGCACCCACACAGTGGCTACAATCATCTGTAGCTCCAGTTCCAGGGAATCCTGTGCCCTCTTCTGGCCTCCCTGGACACCAAGATATGTAAAGAGAGACACAGAGACAGAGAGAGAGACAGAGACAGAGTGTGTGTGTGTGTGTGTGTAGGTAAAACACAAAATTATACAAAGGTCAACTGCTAAGAACCTTAACACATTAAATAAGAAACTTTGTAATTAGTAAATGAAGAATGTCAGATGCCAGTGCCATTTTACAAGCTACAACATACTCTGAATCATTTGGTAAGAGCCTAAAAACAAAAACATTGATATTTGAAAACAAAACAAAACAAAAAATGCCTAAAGGGCCAGTGAGATGGCTCAGTGGGCCAAGGTACTTGCCACCCAGTGACACCTCAGCCCACATGCTCACATGGGAGACCAGATTTCCACAGGCTGACTTCTGGCCTCCACATGTGTCCCTTTTTAAAGACAGGATCTCACTGTATAGCCCTGCCTGGCCTTGAATCCACAGAGAGCACCTGCCTCTGCCTGTCAGGTGGTAGAATGAAAGGCCTGTGTCACCACATTTAGTCAAGTGTAAACGTTTTTTAATGTCTCAAAAGTGTATCATTGAGAGCTGAATGTATAGTTCAATTACAGAGTGTTTGTCTAGGAGTACAAAGCCCTGAGTTCATGTCTTAGCACCTCCAAATTTTTACAGTTCTATAAATTAGCCAGGCAACTTGGTCAAGGCTGTAATCAAGAAGATCTGGGATTTAAGGCCAGCCTAGACTATGTTGTGAAAGACTGTCTCATAACCCCCCCAAACAAAAGTATACAATGAAGTGTTAAAATTATATGTAGTTGAAAATATAAAAAGCTGGGGACACTGCTCAGTGGTATGGCACTTGCCCATCCACCACACACAAAGGAAAATGTAAAGAAATTCAAACTATATTAGGATATCCAAAGAAGAGGACATTGGACTGAGGGTATGGAAGAAACGGATCATCTCATGGACGGGCAGAACTGTGATTTAGGGATTTGGACAGAGTTTTGTATTTGTTAAATTGCATGTAGTTGCCGGCGTTCCTACAATCCCAACACATGCAAAGTGGAGGCGAGATTATCAGGCGTTCAAGGTCATCCTCGGCTACAGGACAAGTTCGAGGACAACCTGAGTAGTACGTCTCAACACCACCAAACACAAACCTTTGATAAGCATTTTTCAGCATGGTAACCCCCACGACCACTCCATTCGGGCCCTTTGCCTGCCACATCCATCAGCCCTACAACTCCTCCACCCCAGGCTGGAGGCAGAACAGGAAGCGGGGTCACGGTGGTCGGCTTTTCCTTCTGTCAGTCTCCGCGAGCGACTCGGAGTCTTTGTGGTTCTGGACCCGGAGCCCGGGTGTGGACGGGGTCGTGGGAGGAGCCGGCGACGGCCGAGTGTGACAGGATCGTGGGAGGAGCCGGCGACGCCCGAGTGTGACGGGATCGTGGGAGGAGCCGGCGGGAGCCTGCGCCGTGAGGTCGGGAAGTGTCGTAAAACCGTCGCGTTGGCAGTCCGCCGCGCGACAGCTATTGTCTTGTCCACGTCACAGCCTCCAAACCGCTACACCTTCCTTTCTTCTTTAAACCACAAGGAGAAGCTATTTCCGCCGTTGGAGACGCGTTGACGGGCGTCCCTGCGTGTCCCCCCGCCTCATGGACCTGGCGGCTGCCGCGTGCACGGGTGAGCGCCGGGAGAGATCAGGCTCAGAAGTGGGCATGTGGTGTCTGCTGAGCCCGGTCCCACCCCAAGTTGGGATGGGGGGAGCATCTGTAGGTGTACGTCTCATGCATGTATTTCTATTTACATTGTTATATGTACACATATATGTACCCTTCTGTTCTTAAGCTAATGAACGTTTTTGTTAATTTTTCTATATTTTTATTGAGCCCAATGCATGTAAAATACTAATAAATATAGATAAGTGATGAGCTTGGTGCTCTTCCAAAAGCACCCACATGAAGGCTCGCAACCTCCTGAATCTCTCCGCAGGATCCGACGCCCTTTTCTGGCCCCTCAAAGTATCTGCATTCATGTGGTGTTCTCTCTCTCTCTCTCTCTCTCTCTCTCTCTCTCTCTCTCTCTCGTATCTGTATTCATGTGGTGTCTCTCTCTCTCACACGCACACACATTTGTAAAAATTAATGATATTTTTAAAATAATGATGATACACTGTACTTTTTTTACTAAATTTTAAGAATCACATTTGCATTTCATACATGAATACTAATTTCTGACTAGCCATACGAAGATCTCCGTGATTTGTGGTATAGTTATCTTTTTTCTTTTCTTTCTTTCTTTGTTTTTTTTTTTTTTTTTTTTTTTTGAGACAGGGTTTCTCTGTGCAGCCCTGGCTGTCCTGGAACTAGCTCTGTAGACCAAACTGGCCTCAAACCTGGAGATTCACCTGCCTTTGCCTCTCACGTGTTGGGATTAAAGGCATGTGCCGCCACCACCCAGCTAGTTATAATGTTTTTATTTTTATTGTGTATTTCTCTGTGTGTGTGTGTGTGTGTGTGTGTGTGCGTGAAAACGCCAAGACGTTTGTGAATGTCAGAGGACAACTTGAAGGAGTTGATTCCCTCATACTATGGAGGAGCATCAAACTTAACTCATCAGGCTTGGCTTTTCCAGCTGACCTGTCCTATTGCTACTATTTTGTTTGTTTTGTTTTTACTCTTTGGGATTTTTTTAGTCTTTTTGAGACAGGGTCTCACTATGTAGCCTTGGCTTGCCTGGAACTTGCTAAGTGTATGAGGCTGGCCTTGAACTCACAGAGATCGCCTGCCTCTGCCTCCCAAGTGCTAGCATTAAAGGCGTGCACCACCTCACGTGACCCTATTTATTCTTTTACAATTTCATACACAACATACATCTAAGGATTGACCTTTTTCTTTTTAGGGTGCTGAAAATTAATTGAACCTGGGGTTTTGCACCTGACAGGCAAGAGTTGTTTTGTGACAGGATTTCATTGAGTTGCCCTGCACTTGGACCTGCTCTATAGGCAAGGTAGTCTGTCTTTGTGGTAGAATATTATTTTAAGGTGTGTAACTTTTGTTTATGCTGTTTGTTTAACTCTGTGAAGCTGTAATTCTTTGCATGTCTAAAACACCTGGTCATTTTAATAAAGAGCTGAATAGCCAGAAGCAAGGCAGGAGGAAGGATAGGCAGGGCCAGAGGCAGAAGAGTATAAATAGAAGGAGAGACGAGGAAGTGAGGAACAGCAAGAGAACAAGGAGAGGAGAACACCAGGGCCAGCCACTCAGGCACCCAGCCAGCCACAGAGTAAGAAAGAAAGATATACAGAAGTAAGAAAGATAAAAGCTCAGAGGGAAAAGGTAGACAGGTTAATTTAAGACAAGAGAAACAGGCTAGAAACAAGCCAAGATAAGGCCAGGCACTCAAAACTAGGAATAAGCCTCAATGTGTGATTTACTTGGGAGCTGGGTGGTGGGCACCCCCAAAAGAGCCACAGAGTAAAAAACAACCAACAACATGTTTTGTGATTCTCCTGTAACTGGGACTAAAGGCTCATACCATTAGGCCTATCTTATTTTATACATTACTTTGATTTTTTATTTATTTTGGATTATCTTATTCCTCTTATTTATGTATACATGTCTGTGTCTGTGTGTGCACACACACATGTACACGTGTGCATGTAGGCATCATGACGACTAGAAGAGGCTTCAGGTATCCTGGAGCTGGATTCACAGATGGTTGTCAGCTGCCCAGTGTGGGTGCTGGGAACTGAACACAGCTTTCTCTGGGAGAGTAGCAAGTCTCTTAACCCCTGACCTCTCTGTAGCCTCTGTTTGTACTTATTTGTATGCTTGTTTGTGAGTGTGTGGCAGTACATGCATGTAGAGGCCAGAAGACAACCTCAGGTGTAGTTTCTTAGGTTCTGTCCACCTTTGTTTGGAGATAGGGTTTCTTACTGGCCCAGAATTCACCATGTAGGTTAAGCTGACTATCCAGAGAACCTCAGGGGATCTGCTTCTCCACCTTGCCAGCACTGGTATTATAACAGTGTACTGCCACCACACCCAACTTTTGTTTTTAAAAAAAGGTTTACTTTGGGCTGGAGAGATGGCTCAGAGGCTAAGAGCACTGATTGCTCTTCCAGAGGTCCTGAGTTCAATTCCCAGCAACCACATGGTGGCTCATTACCATCTATAATTATATCTGGTGCCCTCTTCTGGTGTGCAGATATACATGGAAGCAGAATGTTGTATACATAATAAATAAATAAAATCTTTTTTAAAAAAGGTTTACTTTTTTATATTTTTATTTATATGTATATGTGTATGTCTGTGTGGGTATGTGCACATGAGTGTAGATGTCTATGAAAGCCAGAGGTGTCTCATTTTAGGTGGTTGTGAGCTATTCAGTGTGGGTGACCACACCCAGGTCTTTCCCTAGAGCAGTATGAACTCGTAACCTCTCAGCCATGCCACCAGTTCCATGCCCAGCTCTTCTTACCTGGGGTCTGAAGATTGAACTTTGGTACTCTTACTTGTAAGGCAGGGACTTTACCAACTGGAGGTAAAGGGTTAACTCTCCAGCCCCTTTAAAAAGTAAGAAGGGCCAACGGTGGTGGCACACGCCTTTAGTCCCAGCACTTGGGAGGCAGAGGCAGGTGGATCTCTGTGAGTTCGAGGCCAACCTGGTCTACAGAGTGAGTTCCAAGACAGCCAGGGCTGTTACACAGAGAGAAACCCTGTCTTGAAAAACCAAAAAATGAAACTAAAATAAAAAGGAAGAAAAAAAGAGAAGAGAAGAGGAAAAGGAAGAAGCTGCCATCGTCACAATAGCTAGTATTCCTGTGCCACAGACCCAAGTTCAGGATCAACTTGGTAACTCTGTGACACCCTGTCTCAAAGTAAAAGAATTGCCCCACGTCTGTAATCCCAGCACTCAGACCACCACACCTGCCCAGTATTTCCATATTTTGTTGAGGGTCCTAACTCATTTCCGAATGCTTGTATGGCTATTACTTTACCTACTAAGCCATCTCTTAGCCTTGAAAGAGTTATTTGTAAGCTGCAACCAAAAAGAAAAGCTATAGGAGCGAGCCGTGCTGAAAGGGAAGGAGATGTGTATGGTAAGTGTTCAGTGAGCGGCTGATTACAGCTCCATAAGAGAGTAGAGTTCTTAGAGCATCTCTTCCAGATTTAACATTATTTATCCTCAGGTTATGGAAGAAGCTGAGGAAGAATATATTTTTCAACATGTAACTGACAGGGAGATTAAGTGTTCCAATGATGTAAATAAAGGGACAAATAGGAGAGAGCATGAAAGTGACAATTTACCAAATGGGATTGGTTCCAGGAATTAGAATCAGTGGTTGACACTGGAAAGCTCACCACACAAATTGCTTATGGTACTTCTCTGGATAAGCCAGTGTTTTTTTGTTTTTTGTTTTTTTAAGATTTTATTTATTATTTATACAACATTCTGCTTCCATGTATATCTGCACACCAGAAGAGGACACCAGATCTCATAACGGATGGTTGAGAGCCACCATGTGGTTGCTGGGAATTGAACTCAGGACCTCTGGAAGAGCAGTCAGTGCTCTTAACCTCTGAGCCATCTCTCCAGCCCCCTAGCCAGTGTTTTATATTTGTAAACAGATACAATCTCTTTAGGTAGATTTGTTGTTCCCCTCACTACCCAAATTGTGGTTCTCATTCCCTGAAAAAAACACCTGGTATAACCAACCATTCCTGTGGGACTCCTACATATCCACACATCTGGAGGTGGAGTCACTCCCGATAGGGGAGTCTTTGAAGAGGCCAGGGGTCTGAGTGACATTCCTGTTGCCTTCTCTGCCTAAAAGGATTCCTAATGAGCTAGCTCTCATAGTGGAGCAATTGGGCTCTGTGTGTGTGTGTGTGTGAATGAGGATCGAACCACATTCCAGGGAAGAGCTTTGTCCCCAGGAGATCAATGGAGACACCAACATGAAAATAATGATACATTTATGCTTGTACTTTAAAAAGTTTTATTTTTACATTATTTTTACATTTATTTGTGTGCAGTTGAGTAGATTTGGAGGTCAGAGAACAGTAGTTGTTGTACAAGTGTGAAGACCTGAATTCAGATTCCCGGCATCTGCATACAAATCCTGGACATTGTAGCACATGTGTGGAATCCTAGCACTAGTGAGGTGGAAAAGAGGGGATCTCTGGTGCTTGCTTGCCAGCTAGTCTAGCCAGTCAGTGCCAGATTATATGGGAGTCCCTTTTTCAAAAAAAAAAAAAAAAATAAGTGGACAGCTGGATGGTAGTGGTGCCCACCTTTAATCCCAGTACTCTGGAGGCAGAGGCAGGTGGATCTCTGAGTTCAAGGCCAGCCTGTTCTACAGAACAAGTTCCAGGACAGCCAGGGCAATACAGAGAAACCCTGTCTCAGAGGGTGGGGAAAGTGGACATTGTGCATGGTGGCACACACCTTTAATCCCAGCACAGGTGGATCTCTCTGAGTTTGGAGGCCAGCCTGGTCAATAGAGAGCTCAGGCCAACTATTGTTAATACAGCGAGACCCTATCTCAAAAAATAAAAATAAAAATAAAAAAAAATGGAGCCGACTCTGAAGAAGACACCCAGATTGATGACACACATACACACACCTCTGCCTGGGTCAAGCCCATTAGGATATTTTTCCCATTGATAATTCACTGTAGGGTGCTAGAGAGAGAGAGCTCAGTGTTCAGAAAGTTAGATGTGTAACCATGAAGGTCAGAGTTCAGATCCAGCACACAAGTAAGCAGGGTGTTGTACAAACAGCCTGACTCTAGTTCTGTGGGATTTGTCTTTGTCTTCTAGTCTTTGCACACAAATGAGCATGCACACGCACACCCTCACATATGTACACACACATACAAACATTAAAAAGTAACTGAGCTGGTGGAGATGGCTTGTTAGGTAAATATACTTGCTGTATAGACATGACAGCCTGAGTTCAGTTCCTGGATCCCTTGGTGTAAGAAGAGACTCCCTAGAAGTTGTCCTTTGACCTCTTTGGCTACAAGTACCTGGGGAAGGAAGCACAGGCCCATTTTCTCAACACACACATTCAATTTTTTTTTTAAGTCTCCACTTTAGGTTTTCATTACATTTGCAAAGTCTGTGTGTATTTATCATATCCTAGAAACAAATCAGATTTTTTGAGCCTTCAAGAGAAGGAGATCATGAGAACAGGAAGAAAAAGGAATTAGGAGGATGGAGAAATTAAGGTTAAGATCAGTGGAGTCAGACATCAGTCATAAGGTAGTCATCGCCCGCTAGATAATTAGTGTTACTCGAGAGACCTGAGCTGGCTCTAGTCATAGGTTCTGCAGTGCTCAACTCAAATTCACCCCTTTGCTGGGGAGTGTGCAGAGAGAGGTGGAGTGTCACTAGAAGCAGACTTCTTTGAATTGGTGGTATTTTCTTTATTTGTTCTAAAGTCACCCAGAGGGGACACTTTGTTCCAACTGGCTGCTTCAAGGTGGCTTCCCCAGGCGATGCCTGCTCTAAGTTTTGAGCATGCCATTTGCGATGTTTTGCCATATATCTGATGTTTCCCTCTATCTGCTATATATTAGTTATATGTTTACTTTTGTTTGTTAGATACTTAATAAACTCATTCCAAAGAAAAATGGAGCCTTTGTAGATCATTCTCTGGATGGACAGAACAGTGTGCTGCCTAATTACCATGCCAAGTGAAGACTTCATTTCTCTAGGCTGATTCTTCTTTACATGTAAAGTGAGACCATTATGGTTTTCCTAGTGGGCAGCATGGCTGACAAATTCTTTTCCTGACTCCAGATGAGACAGAGCTGCTCTCATATCTATCAATAATGTGTATATCCAGTCAGGCCTGGTGGGACCTGCTTATAATCTCAGCACTTGGGTGTTGAGGCAAGAGGATCAGAAGTTCTAGGCCAACCTGGGCTATGTAAGACACTGTCTCAAGAAAACACATAGGGCCAGTAAGATGGCTCATGCGTAAAGGCACTTGCTGTCAAACCTGATGACCTGAGTCCAATACCTGGAACCCACATGGTGGAAAGAGAGAAGTAATTCCCCCAAGTTGTCTTTTCCCATGTATGTGTTATAACATTTCTACACTTATACACATATAATAAGTAAATATAAATATTTTTCTTTTTAAAAATTATCTTTAGATTGATTTGTTTTATGTGTGTGAGTGTTATGCTTACATGTATGTTTCTATCATGTACATCCTGGAACTGGAGTTACGGGTGGTTGTGAAACACCATGTGGGTGCTGGGATTTGAACCTGGGTTCTCTGCAAGAACAAGTGCTCTTAACCAGTGAGTCATCTCTCCAGCCCTAGAAGTATTTTTTAAAAGTAGCATACATATCTAATTTTTCTCAAGTATATAGAATTTCGTGTATTTGACACTAGGATAGATGAACTGAAGAATATGGACAAGAAAGATGGGAATCAGCCGGGTGTTGGTGGCACACGCCTTTAATCCCAGCACTCAGGAGGCAGAGGCAGGCAGATCTCTGTGAGTTTGAGGCCAGCCTGGTCTCCAGAGCGAGTGCTAGGATAGGCTCCAAAGCTACACAGAGAAACCGTGTCTCGAAAGAAAGAAAGAAAGAAAGAAAGAAAGAAAGAAAGAAAGAAAGATGGGAATCTTCGGGAATCTTCTTACACCTTCTCTTTCTTCCAGGTGGTCTTTCTGTTGATGCAATGTGCCTTGAAGAAAAGAAAAAGGCAGAGATCATGGTGGCCCACTGCCTGAGAGATTTTTACCAGGTATGCAGAGACTGTGTCACAAAATGCCAATCATGCCTGCACCAGGTAGAAATGTTTCATTAGGTAGCTGTGACTCTACCTTCACAGAGCCAAAAACCAAGACTGAAAGCCCAGTTGAATTTCCCCAAGGGGGTAGCAAACCACAATTATTGATGAGATGTTATCTGAAATTCTACTCACGATCTCAGTAACTACTGACTAATATTGATACTCATGGTAACACAGATATGTTTGTTATTTTGCCAAGTATTCCGGCAGAATTTTAAGGTGGAAGAGTATATATTTTTTGTGTATATAGAGAGTGGGTGTGTGGCTCAGTTCGTGCAACACTTGCTTACAGCTGCCTGTAACTCCAGCTCCAAGAGATCTGATGCCCGTTTCCAGCTTCCATGGACACCTGCATACATGTGCACACACAAACACACATACAGGTAAATACAAGTAAAATTAAGAAAAAAGAAATTGAAAATTACCCTCTTAGGTAGAGACAGGAGGATCAGGAGTTCAAGGTCATCTTCAGCTACACAAGAAGTTAGAGACCAGTTTGAGAATACGTAGACTCTGTTTTTAGAAAATACTGGGGCTGGTGAGATGGCTCAGCAAATCAAGACATTTGCTGCCAAGCTTGAAGGTTTAAGTTCCCATGAACCCACATGATAGAAGAACTAAATCCTGCAAATTGTCCTCTGACCTCCATATGTGTGCTGTGCTGGGTGTACCCTGCCCCTTCAATGAAATAGGTTCTTTTTTGTTTGCTTGTTTTAAATTATGTGTGTATTTTGCCTGAATGTATATTTGTATCACGTGCATGTCTGGTACCTACAGAGGTCAGAAGAGGGCATCAGAACCACTGGAACTAGAATTTGCTGGTAAGGGAACAGAGCCCAGGTCCTCTGCAAGAGCAATGAGTACTCTTAACCACTGAGCCTTCTCTCCAGCCCCCAGAAATAAGTCCTCCCCCCATTTCTAGTTCAAGTTTTTTGTTTTGTTGGTTTTTTGAGATAGAGTTTCTTTTGTGTAGCCTTGGCTGTCCTAGGACTAGCTCTGTAGACTGGGCTAGCCTCAAAGTCACAGAGATCCATTTGCTGAAACAAGTTCTCTTTTTAAAAAAATCCCTCTGACGGTCGTTGGTGAAGCACGCCTTTAATCCCAGCACTTGGGAGCCAGAGGCAGGTAGATCTCTGTGAGTTCGAGGCCAGCCTGGTCTCCAGAGTGAGTGCCAGGATAGGCTCCAAAGCAACACAGAGAAACCCTGTCTCGAAAAACAAAAAACAAACAAAAAAATCCCTGAGACCAGAGAGATGACTCAGTGGGTAAAGCTCTTACTGTGCAAGTGTGAGGACCAGAGTTCAAATCCTTAACACCCATGTAAAAGCCAGATGGGTGTAGTAGCATTTAATTTCAGTAATTTGTAATTTCAGTCCTCTGGAGGCAGAGCCAGGATCTAATAAGTGAGCCTGCTAGTAGGGCTAACAGAGTAAGTGAGCATTGGTTTCAAGTCAAAGACCCTGCCTCAGTATGTTAGTTTGAGAGCCATTGAGGAAGATACCCAATATTGACTTTGGCCTCTAATACACATGTACCCATAAATTTGAATACCTATACACATTACACATAAAAAAGAAATAATTTTTCCTTTTTTTTTTTCTTTTTGTCTTTTCTACTGTGCTTGGAATTGAACCTAGGGCCTTGAATATGCTAGATAAGCACACTACCACTAAGCTATATCTCCCAACCCAAGACTGTTCATCAAAACCTGTTTACCAAGTGTATATGGTGTGCTCAGGAGTACATTTTAGGTAAACAGAGAGAAGGACTGTTTGTTTAGTTGGGAGAAGGTCACTAAAACCATACATCTGTGGGAAATGGACAGTGACTGTGGGCAGGGAGATCTAGACCACCAATCTCTGGGAAGAGTTGGGTTTCATGTCTTCATCTGTAATGCATGTGGGTGACTAAATTGTTACTCAGACTGGCATGTATGATTTAGGACTCATTGACCTTTGATGATGTGGCTGTGGACTTCACCCAAGAGGAGTGGGTTATAATGGATCAAACTCAGAGAGACCTCTACAGAGAGGTGATGCTGGAGAACTACCAGAACCTGTTCTCAGCAGGTAAGACTGCCATCGCCCCTCCTGGTGCCTTAGGAGGAGGATGTTCTGGGCATACAGAGGGGTCAGCGGTCTTGATCTGAATACACTAAGAAATGAAGAGGCACATTTGGGTTGTGCAGTGTTTTTCAAAACAGGGTTTCTCTGTGTAACAGCTATGGCTATTCCAGAATTTACTTTGTAGACTTGAACTCAGAGATCCACCTGTCTCTGCCTCCTAAGTGCTGGGATTAAAGGTGTGCACCACCACTGCTTGGCTGCTCTATGAATTCTTATGTTCCCCCTCCCCCCCTAAAAGCAAACAAAAGTCAGGTATGGTGGGATCATTTTTGTTTTTGTTTTTGTTTTTTTAGATTTATTGATTTATATATAATGTTCTGTCTGCTTGTATGCCTGAAGGCAGAAGAGTGCACCTCATTACAGATGGTTGGGAGCTACCATGTTGTTGCTGGGAATTGAACTCAGGACCTCTGGAAGAGCAGTCAGTGCTCTTAACCTATGGGCCACCTCTCCTGCCCCCAGTGGGATCTTTTTGTAACCTCAGCACTTGAAAGATTGAAACAGGAGTATCACCTAGAGTTTGAGGCCAACCTAGGATACATGGGTTCAAGGCCAGTGTGTGCTATGTGACAAAATCCTATTTCAAAATACATAAAAAATAAATTAGAAAAGTTATGGGGGGGGGACAAAAACAATTTGTTAAGATTTAATTTTTTTATATGTATGGAAATGCATCATATGCAAGCATTACCCAGTGAGGACATTGGATCCACTGGAACAGCTGTGAAGTGCCTTAAGAACAGCAAATGCTCCTAAGTGCTAAGCCATCTCTCCAGGACCCCACACTATCCCCTTTTCTTAAGAAGCCCTGGCTGACCTAGAACTTGCTATATAAACCATGCTGGCCTTGAACTCTGAAAGAGCCACTAGCCTGCCTCCCTCCCAGCTGTTGGGAGTAAAGGTGTGTACTACCACACCTGGTTCAAGGATCATTCTTACTGTAGATACTAAGACACTAGCTATCTGGGCATGGTGACACACGCCTTTAATCCCAATACTTGAAGGCAGAAGCAGGTGGATCTCTGTGAGTCTGAGGCCAGCCTGGTCCACAAAGTAAATTCTAGGATATCCAGGGCTACACGGAGAAACCCTGTCTGAAAAATCAAAAAAAGACACTACTTTGGCATAAGATTTTTTTCTTTATTAAATTAAGAGCTTTTGTTTCATTTCCTTTTGTGAGAGTAGAGCCTGCCTCTGTACTCATGCTGGCCTTAAGCTTTGTATGTAACCAAGAACGGCCTTAAAGTCACTGTCTTCCTGCCTCCTTCCAAATGCTATGATTACAGGTATGTGTGTGCCCTACCTGCCTTGAAACCTTTGTTAAATGAAGTACTTTATGTCTTCTCTTTGACAAGGCCAGATGGGCAGCATCAGCACTCCACTGTTAATGGGTTAGTTATTTAGTAGAAAGTGTTGTTGTTGAGTGACAGATGGGCCAAAGGTAGAGTAGGAAGCTGTGAGCTTTCTTCAGCTACTAATAGAATTGCATAGTTTAAAACTTAGAGATTATTTCTGGAATTTTCTGTGTAATATTTTTTGGTTTCCAGTTAATGGTGAATTCTTTGACATAGAAACTAATAGTGGGGTTATGAGGCGACTTCTGTAATGTGTGTGTGCAGGTACATATGTGTGTACAGTATATGTGAGTGCAGACACATGTATGCCACAGGGAATGTGTGGAGGGAGGTAAGAGGACAAACTCTGGTGTCGGTCCTCACCTTCCATCTTAGACAGGGTTTCTTTGTTGTATTTCTGCTGAATGTACCAGGCTAGCTCGCCTGTAAGTTTCTGGGATCCTATCTCTGCCTCCTGTCTCCTAGGATTGTAGATGCTGTGTTGCTGTGTTTGGCTTTCACATGGTTTCTGGGTGTTTGAACTCAGTCTTCATGCTTGTGTAGCAGATGCTTTATCCATTGAGCCTTTCCCCATCCCTATGAGGTGTTTTCTTTTTATAATTTTATTTGTGTATGATGTGTGCGTGTCAGAGCATGGACACACATGTGCTGGAGTGACTGGATGGAGGTCTAAGGAAACTTAGGAGTCCATTCTCTTCTGCACCTGTGGATTCCAGGGATTTGAATTCAGGTCATCAGGCTTGCACAGCAAATGCTTTTACCCACTGAGCCATCTCCCCAGCCTCCCTGTAAGTTTTAATAGAATATCAGGGTTATCAAAATGTGGTCCAATATCAATACCATCACCCTGTTAGAAATGTAAATCATCCATGTCCTTTGATTACTAAATAAGAAAATCTGAGTATATCCTTGTCACATATTCTTTGTTTGTAGAGGGGTGTTTGTTTTTACAGACCCTCAGAATACACCTAGGCCTTGTACAGGCTAAGCAAGTGCTTTACCATCGTACTACACCCCTAACCCTAGCATATAAACTTTAATAATTTTTCTTTGAAACGGGTGTCTCACTATGTAGCTCTGGCTGTCCTGAAACTCTATGTAGACCAGGCTGACCTCAAACTCACAGAAATGCTCTTGCCTCTGCCTCCCAAGTGCTGGTATTAAAGACTGCACCACTACACCCAGCTCCTAGCATCTAAATTTTAACAAGCTACCATGATGAATCTGTGATAAATCATAATCTGAGATCATGGTAAAAATTTTTTCCCTAGAAGAACAAATATTTTTGTTTCACTATTTTTCTGTTTGACTGAGAGTTAGTGTTTTGTTAATATGTGTATGGACTTTTTTTTTTCCTGTTTGGTTTTGTTTTTCAAGATAGGGTTTGTCTGTAGCTTTGGCGCCTATCCTGGAACTCATTCTGTAGACCAGGCTGGCCTTGACCTCACAGAGATCTCCCTGCCTCTGGCTCCCGAGTGCTGGGATTGAAGGTGTTGCGCCACCACCCAGCTATTTGTATGAGCTTTAACTTGGGCTTTAGGGTTCAGAAAATGTTGATCTACATGCTTAGTCCTTTTGAAACATTTCCCATACATTCTTTAGAAACAAACTTCTTAAGTGCTGAGAGCAGTGTGGCACATACCTTTTCTCCTAGCACTTGGAAAGCTCAGACAGGAGAGCTGGCTGGCCTGGGCTACCTAATTTGAGAGTCTACCATAAACAACAAGAAAAAACATTAGCTAGAGTGCATAAGAACACTTGCTCTTTCAGTTCCCAGCACCCACATTGAACAGCCCACAACCACCTGTAACTAGCTTCTGTGGATCTGACGCCCTCTTCTGGCCTCTAAGGGCACTTTCAGTAGGTACACATACATAAACAGACACATGCACACAAATAAATAATAAAAAACAAAAAACAGGGAGGGGGGCTGGGGAGATGGCTCAGAAGTTAAGAGCACTGGCTGCTCTTCCAGAGGACCAGAGATCAATTCCCAGTACACACATGGCAGCTTACAACTTCATGTAACTGCATTTTCAGGGGATCCAGTTCCCTTTTTTCTGGGTACTGTAGACATGTGGTGAACAGATATAATATGCAAACAAAACACCATATGCATAAAATAATAAGGATAATAACAATAATAAATCACATTAGTAATAATAATATTGGCTGGAGAGCTGGCTTAGAGGTTAAGAGCACTTGATCAGTTCCTAGCACCCACATAGTGGTTCACAACCATCTGTAACTCCCATTTCAGAAGCATCCTGTGCCCTCTTCTAAGCTCTTCTAGCACCAAGTACACACATGGTACATCACACACACACACAGACATACGCACATATGCAAGCAAAACACTCACACAAAATGAATAAATCTAGTTAAGAAATTAGAAAGAGGAAAAATGTGTGTGTGGGGGGGTGATGCCTCAGCTGGTAAAGTGCTTCGTGGGCAAGCATGAGGGCCTGAGTTTAGATCCTCAGTACTATTTAAAGAGCCAGGTGTAGTGGCTGTACCTATAGTTCCTACAGTGTGTGTATGTGGGGAGGCAGGAATTGGAAGGTCGCTGAGGACTGCCTTAGACAGTCTAGCTGAATCAGTGAGTTCCAGGTTGTGTGTGTGTGTGTGTGTGTGTGTGTGTGTGTGTGTGTGTGTGTGTGTGTGTGTGTATTTCAAAAAAATGTAGAGCAAGGGAGGTGCAGTGATTCACGCCTTTAATCAGTGAACCTCAAGTCCTAATGAGAGACTTTGTCTTAGAAAACAAGCTACAGAGCCAGGGAGATGGCTCAAGGATAAAGCACTTTGCTGTACCATCATGAGGAACATAGTTTGCACCCCAAAACCCATGTGAAAAATGGGCAGGCACAGTGGCTGCCTGTGATCCCCAGGAGACAGGAGAGCCCTCTGGGAAGCTGACGAGCTAGACTTGCTGGAGCTGATGAGTCCTGAGTGCAGCACAAGACCCTGCCTCAGTGTGAAAGGTAGATAGTAACCGAGGAAAACACTTGTCATCAACTCTGGGCTCGTGTTCACTCACACACTCACATACACACACAAAGCGGGGGAGAGGGGCCCTAAAATTGATCATTTTCTTTCTGTTGAGTATGAACCACTCCAAGAATGCATTTTCCCTGTGTATAGGATGTGAGGTCAGCAAACCCAGTCTGATCTCCTGGTTGGAAGAAGAGGATTTAGAGACATTGCAAACAGAAGGTGAGTAATCATGGGAAAACAATTGTGATCAAGAAGTTCCTTAAATTTGGAAATAGGATAAAGTTTTTTGTTTTCTCCCCTTTGATTCAGGGTCTCCCTGTGTAGCCCATGCTGGTGCCTACAGTATTTCTGCCTTTACTTTCTGGGTACTGGAATTGTTGGTTTACACCACCACACCCAGCCGTAACAAAACTTTTTTTCAGTAGTGGGGATTAAGCCTTGAGGTTGCTTAGGCGAACACTCTTACTACTGAGCTATATCTCCAGTCTTAAAATGAAACTTTCAAAGATACAGTTCATCTCAGAAGGTGCCTGCCCTTTATTTCAGAAGCAATTCTGGATTTCTTACACTTTGCTCAGACTTTTTCTGTGACCCCACAAAATGCCTGTTTTGTTAATTTTTTATAATTTTGTCCTATGCTATGTTGAGATCTTTCCTTACCATCATGCCTGGTAATGTTCTTTTTCACCATCAGCTTTCATTTAAAAAATAATTTGTAGTTGGGCAGTGGTGATGCACACTTTTATTCCCAGCACTCAGAAGGTAAAGGCAGATGAATATCTTGGGTTTGAGGCCAGCCTGGTTTACAGAGTGAGTTCCAGGACAGCCACAGCTACACAGAGAGAGCATGTCATGGGAAGAAAAAAAAAAGAAGAAAAAATTGTAATAAATTGGATAAAACTATGACTCACATTTTTACCCTTGCTAAGTTTTAACCTAATTAAAATGATCAAAATTTAGTTTCTTCTTTTTTGTATTTTTGTTTACTTATTTTAGTGGGATCTCACATTGTAGCCATGGTTAGTCTTAAACTCAGTCTTTCTGCCTCAACCCTCTGATTCTATCTGCCACACTGGGTAAGATCTGTTACTTTCTACTCCTGTAACATACCTCTCATTTCTAAATCTTGATTATGTTTTGTTTTTATGTCATTTTTAGACTGGGAATTGCAAGACACTTTGAGGGAACAATCTTTCAATGTGGTGAAAATGGTAAGATTAATCAAAGATGTTTGTTATTTCCCATACTCTGAAAAGACTAAAAATTCCACTGATGGAAAATAAGTAGCATTCACTCAGGATTGTGTGGGTAGGGAGCAGCATTTTAAACTAGAAATGCTCAATATTACATTGTCAAATGTAGTTATTAGTTAACACTTTTTTGGCTCTTTTGTTCTTTGTTCTTGGTCTTTTGGGGGCCCTCCACCCAGCTCCCAAGTAAATCTACGGAGGCTTATTCTTAATTATAATCACCCACCTTAGCTTGGCTTGTTTGTCAGCTTTTATTATCTTAAATTATCCCATCTATCTTTTGCCTTGGGGCTTTTTCCTTTTCTTGCTTCTGTGTATCTTACTTTCACTCTTACTCCGTGACTTCTGGGTGGCTGGCCCCTGACCCCTTCCTCTCTTTGTTCTCTCTTGCTCCTTCCTCCAACTTTATTCTCCTATTGCTCCTTCCTCCTATTTATTCTCTCTGCCTGCTGGCCCCACCTATCCTTTCTCCTGCCTCACTATTGGCCGTTCAGTTCTTTTAATTAGACCACCAGGGGTTTTAGATAGGCAAAGAACCACAGCTTCACAGAGTTAAATGCAGCATTTTAAAAAAGCAACACATCTTTACATCATTAAACAAATGTTCCACAGCATAAACAAAAGTAACACACCTTAAAAATAATAGTCTACAATCATGAAACCAAATCCTTCAAGGTTCCCACAAGTACACATTTCTACATATGTAACTAGACATTGAATTTTTCAAAACGTTTGTTGATTCTATGTGGATTTCACATCATGCATCTTAATCCCATTCACCTCCCCGTCCCTTTGTATCCAGCCTTTGCCCTTGTAACCTCCTCAGCCCCCCTTAAAAACATTTAAAAGAGAAAAAAAAATCTTGTGGTGGAAGCTGTAATGTGGCCCAGCGAGTCACACAGTGTGTCCATTGGTCCATACAGCTTTACTTGCAAGTGCACATTGCAGTGAGTCATTGGTCTGGCTCAAGGCCTCTGGCTTCTGCTACACTGTAGATACTGGTATTTTAACATAGTCCCTCACTGGGACTCCTCTTTGATGTTCTGTTGTTGTTCTGTGTCATGGAGATTGTACAGCTTTGGATCTGTAGGACTGGCCTCTTCACGAGCTCCAGCAGTTCATAGATGGGGGTGCACATTGGGGTGGGCCAACTCATAGCCCTGATTCTGGACCTGGGTGGTTCTAAGATGAGTTGGTCAGCCTGCCAGCTCTCCCTCATCCTCACCACCAGGGCTGGCTTTCCCAGTGCAGCAGTCAGCAAGAGGTGGGGCTGGTTCTCCTGCTTTCATGACTTTGGAGGCATGTTCCCTTGCATCCACACCACAAGGGCCAGCTCTGCTATGTTGCCCAGACAAGGTGCAGGGCCCACTCTTCTGAGTGCTGCAGCTGGTGAGGGGCAGGACCAGCTCTCCCGCCTGCCACAGTGGTGATGGGATGTGGAGGGAATCTTTCCCTCATCCAGGCCATCACATACCAACCAGACAAGGAGGTGTGGGGTTAGCTTTCCCAATCTCAAACCCCAGGGCTGGCTCACCTGTGTCTCTACCAACAGGTTCACCTCTTCTGTGCTGCCCAGGCAAGGTGCAGGGCTAGACATTAAACTTTTAAAGCAACTTATTTATCTGTGTTTTATTTTTGTGTCGTGTGTGTGTGCGCGCGTGCTCATGTGCATACTGGCATACATGTGCCAGGGGAAGTTTATGTCATGCCCCTCTTGTGGAAGTCAAGAGAGCTTTCAGGAGTTGGTTCTGTCCTTCAACCATGTTGAGACAGTGTCGCTCTTATGTTTGCTACTGCATAAGGTTCTGGCCAATTCTCCTGTTTCTGCCTTCTGTCTCAAAGTAGTAGTGCTGAAATTACAGATGCATGCTACTGTGACTAGTTTGGGTTCTTCAGTCATCAGTCAGGCTTGCATGGCTAGTACTTTACCTGCTACGCCATCTTCCTGGCTCTTTAAAACAATTTTATAACATGCTTAATATTTTTTAAACATTTAAGCTGGTTCTAGCACTATTGTTCCTTCAGCTTGATTAGAAATCACATAGCAACTTTAAGAATGTCATGAAAATGATAAAAAAAAAAATCATAGTCCGTTAAATAATGCATCTTTAAAAGATAGGGTCTCATGTAGTCCCTATCCTCAGAGTTGCTATGTTGCTAAGGACAGCAACTCCTGATCCTCCTATCTTCATCTCCTAAATGCTGGGTTTTAAGTACATCACAATGCTAGCTATAAATAATATACTTTAATCATTATTCACTTATACAGAGGAGATTCAACAGTGTGGGTGACCTCTAAAATTAATTTAAAGAAATTTCTTAAAAGACTGTGACAGGATTAGGGATTCATCTGTAGAAAATTAGTGCAAAAGGGAAACATACACACACACACACACACACACACACACACACACACACAGAGAGAGAGAGAGAGAGAGAGAGAGAGAGAGACAGAGAGAGAGAACGCAGTGCCAGGCAGTGGTTGTGGCGCATGTCTTTAATCCCAGCACTTGAGAGGCAGAGGCAGGCAGATCTCTGAGTTCGAGGCCAGCCTGGTCTATAGAGCTACTTCCAGGACAGCCAGAGCTGTTACACAGAGAACCCTGTCTTGAAAAAAAATAAATAAATAAATAAATAAATAAATAAATAAATAAATAAAGAGAAACATTTAAGAGGAATGACAATCTCTTTTGTGAGAGAACCTTGTCTTTGATGGATATTCTTTTTTGGTTTTTCGAGACAAGGTTTCTCTCTGTACCTTCGGAGCCTATCCTGGCACTCGCTCTGGAGACCAGGCTGGCTTCAAACTCACAGAGATCTGCCTGCCTTTCCCTCCTGAGTGCTGGGATTAAATGCATGCATCACCAATGCCCAGCAATGGATATTCTGAATATGTTGAATTTGGGGTACCCCAATCCATGCTTAAAAGTTTGGTCTTCAGAATTTCCACAAATATGCATTGCCACATATGTACTCTGCTTTGAGAGTCTTTAGAGAATTTTATGACGACATACATGAATCATTTCAAAGTTAAAACAGATTATATAGATGATTCTTGCATTAAGGTCCCTTCATTCAACTGGGGAAAAAAAAAAACAGCAGAAATTGTATATATGTGATAAGAATGCCAAGCATCTAATAATATTTCTGTCTTCATAGAGGTTGAAACCCTTAATTTTGAACAATCCATTGGTTTTATCCATTCTTTCATCAACAGGAAGGAAGACACAGTGCTTGGGAACTCTGTGATTGTATGCAACATAAAAATATCTTCAGAGAACATTCATATTTTAAAAGGCACATGAAAACTGAAAATTCAAATGCCTGTGACTCTAGTCAATATGGAAAACACTTTCTCACTCTGCATAAGAAAACATCTATGAGGCAGGAACTTTCTGTGTTGAGTCAGTATGCAGGAGACTTTGTGACCCCAAATGTTACTCGACAGAGAACAGACTTACAGGATAAGCCTGTTGAATGTACTGACTTCCTTAATCAGTCATATTTTAAAGTACATATGAGAATGTATAATGGGGAAAAATTCTGTGAATTGACTCGATTTGCAGGAGATTTTACATGTTCCACAAGTGGAGCTCTGCCTATTCAAAAATATACCATAAAAGCCTATGAATGTAAGATTTGTGGGAAAGTCTTTGGCTGTTCTTCAAATCTTAATAATCATATGCGAACCCATACTGGGGAGAAGCCCTATGAATGTAAGGTTTGTGGGAAAATCTTTGGGTATTCTTCAAATCTTAATAGTCACATCCAAACTCACACTAGGGAAAAACTTTATGAATGTAAAATATGTAAGAAACCCTTCACAACTTCTTCAAGTCTAACTGAACATTTCAGAATTAATACTGGAGAGAAACCATATAAGTGTATAGAATGTGGAAAAGCTTTTACTAAGCACTCAGGACTTTCTACACACATACAAAAACATGTTGGGCAGAAGCCCTATGTATGTAAGTTGTGTGGGAGATCCTTTACTATTTCTTCAAACCTGACTGAACATTTAAGAAGTCATACTGGAGAAAAACCCTATGAATGCAAGGAATGTGGGAAAGCCTTCCAGGCATCTTCCTACCTTCATAAACATCTAAGAACACATACTGGAGAGAAACCCTATAAATGTGCTAAGTGTGGGAAGGCCTTCCCCACTTCCTCCTATCTACGGAAACATGTAAGAACTCACAGTGCAGAGAAACCTTATAAATGTAGGGAATGTGGAAAATCTTACAAAAGATGTTATCTATTGAATGAACACTTAAAAACTTGTATGGTAGACAAACCTTTTGATTGCAAGGTATGTGGAAAATCTTTTAGGAGTTTTGCATGCCGTAATAAACACATTCGTCTTCACACTGGAATCAGACCGTATAAATGTAAGTACTGTGGGAAAGACTTCACTGTTTCTTCAAGTTTAACTGAACATATAAGAACACACACTGGAGAGAGGCCGTATGAATGTAAGGAGTGTGGGAAAGCCTTCACTACATCCTCATGTCTGATCATCCATAAGAGGACTCACACAGGAGAGAAACCCTATGAATGTAAGCAATGTGGGAAGGCATACAAAAGGTGTTACCTGCTGACTGAACATGTGAAAACTCACACTGGGGAAAAGTCCTTTGAATGTAAAGTATGTGGAAAACTCTTTGGAAATTCCTCTTGCCTTAATAAGCACATTCGAATTCACACTGGGATAAAACCCAATAAATGTAAGTACTGTGGAAAAGAATTCACTGTTTCTTCTAGCCTAGCTGAACGTGTAAGGACTCATATGGGTGAGAAGCCCTACAAATGTAAGGAATGTGGGAAAGCCTTCATAACATCCTCAAACCTCTATCACCATGCACAGATTTGTGATAGAGAGGTTTCCTCTAAGTATCAAGAATGTGGAAAAAACTACAGTAAGTTTTATCAACTAACTGAACATTTAATAAATAAGCCTGAACAGAAATCCTTTGAATGAGAGGAATGTTGAAAGTCCTTCAAGAATTCTCCACGTCTTAATCATAATGGAATTACACTGGTGAGAAGCCTTATTAATGTAAGAAATGTGGGTTAGCCTGCAGACCAGCTTACTTGAAAGACATGAAATCTCTCTTGTTCTCAAAATGCCCATGAATTTAAGAAACATGAGAGCCATGGAATGTCATCAAAGTGCCCTAGTATGTGAGCTTACCCTGGAGCCATATAATGTCACAAATATGAAAGCCCTACTTCTTGTGGACTTGTGAAAGACATAAGATTTTGCAGTGGAGAACCTGTTGTACGTGATGTGGAAAAGTTATTCTGCTAAGTTCTTTACTCGTGATCTCACAGTGGAGATGATGAAGGTAAGGAAGTTGCAGTCCGTTTTCTACATATTGCCCTTGAGCCTTTAATAATCATGGCAATTTATAACCAAGAGAAAATGGGTGCAGAGTATGTGAGAATTATGACCACATCTTGGAATATATGCTAACAGAGATAGGATCTTCTGATTTTTGTTGCTGTTTGAAGCAGACCAAGTTGAACTCAAACTGTGTGTATCAGGGGATGGCCTTCTACCCCTTGATCCTCCGGTGTCCACCTCCTGAGTGTTGTGATTTACCCAGTTTTTATTCAGGGCTGGTGAGTGAGACAGGGCTTTGGGCATACTAGTCAAGCACTTTACCTGCCACATACTAGTCCCCTTTTCAGTATATGTTCATTTATTTTGAACATTTGTGATTCTTCCCTAATTGTTTCTAAAGTGGTTTGTATCTTTCTTACCACACTTTCCACTAAATCACTGTGCCTTCCGGATTGCTCCATGAAAAAAAGTGAACTTCCAGAATATTAGCTAATCTGTTGTCTGGGATTAAACTAGGACTTCATATATATTAAGCATGTGTTCTTCCCTGGAGCTGTACCCATACCCTCAAATTCTATTTCAGATATATACTATATATTATATATTATATCAAGTCTTTCTCTGTCCTACCAGCTCCCAAAAAAACACACCGAGACTTATTATTAATTATGAAAGCACAGCCAATAGCTGAGACTTTTTCCTAACTAGCTCTTACAGCTTAATTAACCCATTTCTATTTACATGCCTGTTACCTCATCTCCTACATGTCATGCTTCCTACAAGTCTCCTGGCAACTCTACCTTTTTTCCTAGCATCCTCTGTGCCCTGAAAATCTGTGTAGGTATTGGCCTTCAGCTTTTTATTAAACCAGTCAGAGTGATACATCTTCACAGTGTAGAAAAAGATTATTCCACAAATATCCACCTTTTTGTCTAAGTAAAATGGAAAGGTTTTTAACTCTGATATACATGGTAAAATTATATACAATATGAACAACTATCAGGTATTGTCTAAATAGGAAAGGTATTAACTTTAATAAATGAAACTATATACAATAAGAGTAATTATTAAGAATTACATTTATGCTGGGCGGTGGTGGCACATACCTTTAATCACAGCACTTGGGAGGCAGAGGTAGGCAGATCTCTGTGAGTTTTAAGGCCAGCCTGGTCTACAGAGCTAGTTACAGGACAGCTAGGGCTGTTACTCAAACCATCTTGAAAAACCAACAACAAAAAAGAATTACATTTAGATTGTCCAGTCCATTTGTGTTTGGCAAGTTTAGAGAAAGTACTTCATATCTATTCTCTCTTGAGGAATCCAAAGTTTTGTACCTAATTTATCTTGTTATAACTAAGGAAAACTATAACTAGTCCTCAATTCCATTAAAGACCCCAGGAGGATACAATATTACCTGAGTAAACAAAAAGTGCAGAGCAAGCAACTTCCAAAATTATAAAATGGCAGACATCTGGCTCCCTAGACAGTCACCCAAGGTTCCTCTGTAACATTGGGGCATCCATCTTCAGCCTACAGGCCTGGAATATCTGACAGACTTTTCTGTGAAGCAGGAAATTTGAAGAACTGTTCCACCTTGTTTTGGCAAAGTTCAGCAGTATCTTTCCTGTGTGTCCTGCATATATATTCTCCATTTGCCATGATTCACCTGCAGTAGCTAACAGCCAGGTTTGGGGTTTAATACAGTTATTTTGGGAATGAGGGGTGAGATAGTGTCTTGCTCTATATGCCAAGTTATCTGAAACTTAGCATGCAACCCATGCTAACATCAAGCCTGTGACAGTTCAGTTTCAGCTTCTCAAGTGTTGGGGTTATAGGCAAGGGCCAGATTTTTATTTTATTTTTTTTAAGGCAAAGTCTCACCATGTTTCCCTGTCTGGCCTAGAACTCCCTATATAGACAATACCGGCCTCCAACTCATGCCAATCTGCTTGCCTTTTCCTCCTGAATGCTGGAATTCGAGATATGTACCACCATGCCCAGCTATGCCCAGCTCTTAATGTTGTTCAAATATCTTTTGAGGGGCTGGGGATATAGCTCAGTAGTAGAATGCTTGCCTGGCATGCATGAGGCCCTAGGTTTGATAACCAGCACTACACACACACACACACACACACACACACACACACACACACACACAATGCTTTCGTAGCTATTTGTAGATAAAAAGAGGTAAGTTGAGGAAAGAGTGAGTGAATAGCTAATAGTGGGAAATACCTCAGTTTCACAATCAGAGAAATCTTACACTGAGAGTGGAAATTCCCGTAACATGCAATGTAGGAACAGTGAGAACCCTGAATTTTCTTTTCTTTTTTTTCTTTAGATCTACTTCACAGACTGACAAGACAATAAGATTGCACTGCTGAGTTGAGCAACAGTGAGGCTGACGATAAGCCTTCTTTGGGATTTGTCCTGTGTACTATACATCATGGAAACAGAAACTTTGTGGAATTTAATCACAATGAATGTGGCTGGCATCATGTTCTGCTGTGTTGCAAACCATCTCTAGCAATTCCTGGATATGGCCCAAGGTCAGCAATAGCAGGTTTCATCTCAGTGATCCAAATTTGTGTATTTCTGATGCTTGAACAGCTTTGGATTTTGTCCTGTAAGGCCTTTAGGGCTGTGCCACCCAATGGCTTTCTGTGGCTCATACTCTAACCAGAGTAGCAGTGATCTAATACAAGCTCAACAATAAACCCCAAATAGAAGACACCAATGCACCTATGTTGTTAATTTGTAGTGAGGAGTATGTTGTGGAGGAGTTCTTTTGCAGGCATGAGTTTGCTGTTTGACCTATGTGTTGTTTTTAATGCTGACATTGACACCATAAATCAGCAGATCGGTTTTGTTTTGTTTTTCCTATGTAAACCAGACTGATCTCAAATTTGTAATCCTCCTACTTTATCTCATAAGTGTTGGGATTACAAATGTGTACCACCATATTGATTCAGTCTGTTAACTGAATTAATAATGATATTCTAAATGCAAACAACCAGGTTGTTTGCCTAAACATGATATAACTATCCTTCATACAGCCAAAAACATTATAAATTTAGAATAGGTGGCAATGTCCCCTGAGAGATATTCTTTTAGTATCTCAGCTTAAATATAGTAACCATTGATACTCTCTTAATTGATGTTACATCACATGATAAAAAGGAAAGAAAACAAATATCTGTACAAATGCATTCTTAAGAAAACAGAAACACACATGTCAATTTTAATTCTCGTTTCTGTGATGGTCACGTGGCCTTAGTTGGTATTTACAACTGCCTTCCTCTGCTTCCCATTCTGGATTTCCTCCACTCTGAGCAAGCACCTCAGCAGATCTTGGCTCCTTCCCTGTAGTAGTGACCTATACCTTCATTCCTGAAGGGTCTGTGCCCTTTGTCATCCTGCAAGGACTGGGCTATTGTAGTTTCCCACTGACTTTAATAACAGGACATGACAGCACCAAGAGACACCCTAAAGCAGTGGTTCTCAACCTGTGGATTGTTACCCCTTTGGAGGTCAAATGACTTTTTACAGAGGTTGCCTATCAGTTATACCACATACCAGATATTTACATTATGATTCGTAACAATAGCAAAATGACAGTTAGGAGGTAGCAACAAAAATAATTTTATGGTTGGAGATCAGTACAGCAGATCAAGAGGTTGAGAACCACTTCCCTAAAGGATCACTTGCACTCAAGACATAACCTTTCTTACCTCCATTGTGGGGAAGCGACCCAATTTCCCTGTGGTAATTCAATCACCCCTCCTAACACTGTTACTCCTTTCTTAGCCTGTTGGCTTAAGTGCATCAGAAGACAACGTGGCCAGGGGGATGTCTGAGCTTCCAATTCAATGGACTGTTTATTATGGCTGCTGGCAGGAGTGCTACCCCTTTGGAACCAAAACTTCTAGGCCCCAGAACTTCAACTCGTTCCTGGAACAGGAAGCAAACATTTTCCTAGTGGGTCACTAGGGGTGATAGTGAACAGAACGTCTCACTATCCCTTTATTTCTGGACCCATGAATCCTGGCTATCGGAGACACCATTTCATGTATTGGGTGCTGATTCAACACATATACTACCTTCTGGAGAACCCTGCCCCAGCTCTCCAGGCTGCAGTCACCTAATTGCTGTAACTGTGTCACCCAGCTTTGGAATAGCCTTTTGAAGACACTTGGGGGGCGGGGACTAAAGAGAAACTTAGAGCCTGGTATGGTGGCACACGCCTTTAATCCCAGCCTTTGAGAGGCAGAAGCAGGTGGATCTCTGTGAGTTTGAGGCCAGCCTGACTACATACAGAATGAGTTCCAGGACAATCAGGGCTCTTACACAGAGAAACCCTGTCTTAAAATGCCAAAGGGATGTGGGGGGGGGGGCTATTTCTATGAAGCCAACTGCTCCAGGATAGTAAGAGACATGGTAAGAGCAGTGGATTTCATGATTGTGAGCTCACTGTCATGCTTCTCTGAAAAGAAGTAACACTGTGTGGAAGACCATGACAGTATTCTGTGAATATGGCATTCTGTAAGTTCACAGATGACAGTTGTGGCAGAAGCATTACATGCAGGAAAAGCAAATCCATACCAGAATAACTATCTACTTCAGTAAGGACAAAGCGTTGTCTCTTCCATGAAGGAAGTGGTACAATGTAGTCAACCTGCCACCAGGTGGCTGGCTGGTCACCCCAGGAAATGGTACCATATCTGGGGCTCAGTACTGGTCTCTGCTGTTGGAAGATCTAGCACTCAACAGCAACCTTGGTAAGTGAAGTCCATGTTGTTCAACCCATGCATAACCCCCATCTCTGCCACCATGGCCACTTTGTTCATGGGCACATTGGGCAATGACAGGAATGGCTGGGAGAAAAGGATATCTGTCCACAGAATGGGTCATCCTACCTACTTGATTGAATGCCTCCTCAGTTGAAGTCACCTTTGGTTGAGCATTTATGTGGGACACAAGTAACTTCATATCCTTCAACCATTGGGAGAGATCTACCCACATACTTCTCCAGATGTCTTTCTCACCAATTTTCCAATCCTGCTTTTTCCAAGTTCCTGACCATCCAGCCAATTCACTGGCTACAGCCCATGAATCAGTGAACAATCACACATCTGACATTTCTCCTTCCAAACAAAGTATGACCTTGTATACTACCCGAAGTTCTGTCCACTGTAACAGTTTCCCTTCACTTGTATCTTTCAAGGTTGTCACGGAAAGAGGTTGTGATGCAATAACTGTTCATTTCTGGGTGGTGCCCAAATGACACACAGAACCATCAGTAAACAAGACCCTGGTTCTCTTCCTCAGGCAACCAATCATAGGGAACACCCTACACCCCACAAGGCTACATACTCGGCAAGGCATACTACATACCCACAAGGGTGCATACTCGGCAGCAGATGGCACTGTAATGGGAGTAGGAACCACAGGCATTTGAGCAACTTCCTCATGTAACTTGCTTGTGCCCTCAGGACCTGCCTGGGTCTGATCACATAAGTACCACTTCCACTTGCTAATAGATTGTGGCTGTGCACGTCCTGCTGTCTGACTTGGTGGGTTAGATAACACCCAGTTCATAATGCACTGCTCAGGTTTCATAGAATCTTGGTGGCCCATTACCAAATGCTCAGTTTCCATTAAGGCCCACTAGCAGGCCAAGACCTGTCTGTGTTTTAAAGGGAGAATAGTTGTTTGTAGATTATGCTTCATGATCCCAAAGGTCTCTGCTATGACTCACCTAAGGGGCCTACCAAAGATACAGATACCTTCCCTATCTGCCACTGACACCTTAAGTACCATAGAGTCTCCTGGGATCGTTTGACCCAAGTGGTAGAGCAGCCTGCAGAGCAGCATGGACCTGCTGAAGAGTCTCCTGTTCCAGACCCCACATAAACCCAGCAGGTTTCTGGGTCACTTGGTATATGGGCCAGAGTAACACAGTCAAAGTGAAGAATGTGCTGTCTCCAGAATTCAAATATTATTTTTTAAATAAGGAAAAGTGATTTTAAAAAATTCAAATATTGTGTTTCTTTCTTGGTGGTGGGAGGGGCCAAGTGCAATAATTTATCTTTCACCTTAAAAGGAGTATCTATCTCTGCGTGCCTCACATCACTGGACTCCTAAAAATTTCACTGAGTTAGAAGGCCGTTTAGTTTTGGTTGGATTTATTTCCCATTCTCCTATATGAATGTGTTACCAATGAGTTCACAGTGGTTGCTACTTCCTGCTCGATTGGTCCAATGTCATCAATATAGTGCACAAATGGGATATTTTGTGGACAAGACAGATGAACAAGATCTCTTCTAATGATGACACAGGGCTGGAGAGTTAATATATCCTTGAGGTAAAACTGTAAAGGTATTTAATCCCAGCACTGGGGAGGCAGAGGCAGGTGGATCTCTGTGAGTTCAAGGCCAGCCTGGTCTACAGAGTGAGTGCCAGGACAGGCTCCAAAGCAATATAGAGAAACCCTGCCTAGAAAAAAAAAAAAAACTGTAAAGGTATACTGTGGTGGTTTGAAGAAAATTACGTTATTAGGAGGTATGGCCTTGTTGGAGGAAGTGTTTCAGGTAGGGGCAGGCTTTAAGGTCTCTTTTTTGTTTTCAAATTTCCCTCAGTGTGACAGTCAACTTCCTGTTGCCTGCAAGATGTAGCACTCTCAGTTCCAGCACCACATCTGCTCGCACACCACCATGCTCCCAGTCATGATAATGGACTGAACCCAATTAAATGTTTTCTTTACAAGAGTTGTCATGGTCATGGTGTCTCTTCACACAACCCTAACTAAGACACACTGCTGGCCTCGCCAACTGAAAGCAAATTGCTTCTGATGGATTTTATGAGCAGGTACCAGAAAAAGACATTTGCTAGATCAATGGCTGCATGTCATGTGCTAGGAAATGTATTAATCTGCTCAGGTAAGGACACCACATGAAGGCCAGCAGCTCAGAGTAACTACCTGATTGAGTTTTCAATGGTCAGCCGTCATTCTCCATGATCCACCTGTCTTCTGCACTGGCCAGGACCAGAGTTAAAGGGAGATGTGGTGGGAACCACCACCCCTGCATCTTCCAAGTCTTTGGTGGTGTCTCTAATTTCTGCAGTTCTTCCAGGGATGCAATACTGTTTTTGATATACTATTTTCCCTGGCAGAGGCAACTCTAAAGGCTTCCACTGGCCTTTCCAAACATAACAGCCCTCACTCCACAAGTCAGGGAACCAATGTGAGAATCCTGCCAACTTCTAAGTATATCTATCCCAACTATACATTCTGGGACTGGTAGAATAGCCACAGGATGAGTTTAGGGACCCATTGGTCCTACTGTGAGTGAGGCTTCAACCAAAACTCCACTAGTCACCTGACCTCCATAAGCTCTTACTTTAACTGGAGGGCCACAATATTTCTTAAGATCTCCTGGAATCCCCATTAATTCAGAGTCTGTAATCCAATAGACCCTGGAAAATCTGACTGTTTCCTTTCCCCTAGTGTAAAAGGCCATTGTTTTCTCTGGATAAGGACTAGAAAAAGGCTAACAGTAAAGCTTTTATGTGTTTTATTAAGGTCCTTCCTCAGAGGAACCTGGTCATCCTTTATTCAAGGGGTTCTGTGTTGGGACAGTCTTTTTCTACAGTTTGAAAATGTCTCTGTTTTACCTCACCTGCCTAAGGCACCTTTCTGATTGGTTTAATAAAGATCTAAATAGCCAATAGCTAGGC